TTCTGTCCTGGATGAGAGGATAATCTCGATCAAAATCTGTAGCAAAATCGCTACATCAGCGGGAAAAAAAATTCAGTCTGTGTGGAAGCATTAAGCGTCTGGCCGTACTACAGAGCTTGCGATAGTACTGTCCGGCCAGACGCAGTCGGGCTAGTGTAGGTAGGCCTAGGCCCATAGAGCTATAGCGCTAACTCCTCATTGAAGCCGTCCTGCACCCGATTTCACGAAGCGCTGCGACGCGTCGCAACTCGAGTTACGACGTGTAATACGTCGCAACTCGTGACGCGTCATATCATCCATTTCACGAAAGTTGCCATGTGTTGAACGCTTCGTAAGTTCCTGGACAACCAACCTCGTTCCCCATGGGTACGATCTTGCTGTGCCATGTTGTTTCCCATCATGCCTTGCGCGATCTTAACCCCTGGAATTGTGTAATTTAAATGTGTCAAAATATGGCACATTATAATTAGGCTGCAGTTTATCCGTTTTACGTGCTACACCATTGACTTGTGCATAAATGAAATGCTTCACACTAGCTCTACTGAGTGGAGCGTTGAATTATGGGTACCCCTCCATACAAACCCGTAATTCAACGCTCCACTCAGTAGAGCTAGCTTCACACACTGGTAAATGTAATACGCCTTTGTTTACACATGGAGGAAGGAATAGTCTATTCCTTCCTCCATGGTTTACATGTGCAATGCACGGCAGGTTACCAGTCTGTAGCACTAGCATGTAGCATTGCTACAGGATTTGTGGTGGGAGTCCCCATGTCTCGAAAGTTGCTCCATATGATAATCCATATTGTAGAGGCATCGCGACTTATGAATAAATTTTTTTTTTTGTACGTGACGTTTACGTGCAAAGCACGCGAGTGCATTATGGGCGCGCCCGGCGTGCAATCATCGAAATGCGCGCGCAGAACGCTGTGAATAGCCAATCATCGTCATTTACGTCATCGTCATTTATGTGCCAGTGGCCCGACCACGTTGTAGCCGCGTCCTTCGCAATTCAGCATACCAGCTGCGAGTAAGGATGATTAGCCTCCTAAATTATTATCACGGCCAGGGGTTAGTGTAAGGAATGCGCACGCGCCCATGGAGTCGAGGCTGCTTGACAACGGCTTAAAACACGTCGCAAGCTACGACGTGTCTAGTGGTCGTCGCAAAATAAGAAGAGTCCATTTTTAGCCAGTTTTGTGCCATAAACATCACGTAAATGAGATTGTAATACCGAGGCATGTGTGTAAAGTTGTAAATAGAAAAATCATTGAATAATTATGGATTAGCCTGAAATATTGCAGTTGAAATTTCAAAGTAGCTACACAGGTCCACTGAGAGCTCGTTTTCCTTTAAAATTGCATTGCACGGCCGCCATTTTGTCCTACGTTTTAACAAATTTCGAGCGGAGATCCGACGACTCTTTGTTGAATACCAGACAACTATTTACTGTATGTTGACTTAATACATAAAACAGTCACCGAATTGTGCTATAAATACACATACGACGCGTCGCACTTACGACGTGTTTTGTGAAATGGATCGCAGGACGCGTCGCAGCTGCAACCACTAGACTGATCTAGCCAATGAAAAAACATAATGAAATTAGATGGATTGAATTTTGAAAGTGTACTCTACATGCAATGCGCAAGTAGAACATACGCCAACAACTTAAACGCGTCAAGACGGTTCAACTTAACATCACGGCAAAATGCATCTGCAGCGAATATGCACACGCAGATATGCAAATAACCGTACAAAAGCCGTACAAAATTTCGAGTTTTCCATAGGTTTGTGTACAAACACGGATGCGCCCATCAGGCATCTCTTTGTAGGTTAGCGCTCTAGTAATTTAATATAGCTCTATGGGTAGGCCCTAGGCCTACTTCTAAAATTAGAAGGCTGACGGAGAGAAGCCTTCTAATTCTAGAAGTAGAACTATGGTTATGCGCCTGTCAGTTGTTTCCCCGGTATCCAGCCACTTCGGCACCTTGCCAACTCGGCACCTGCCAACTCGGCACCTGACCAACTTGGCACCTCCGGTAGGAAAGAACGTATCGATACTGCACACATAAATAAAGTATTTTCAAACAAAATTTGAAATGCTTCTAATTCAAATCATTGTTCACCTAATAACAGATGTATACTTCATTACTTGTCAATTACTCTTCTTTTTCTAACAAAGAAAATGCGGAAACAGCCGATTACGCATATGCATGTTCCGTACGTGTTGTCGCGTTGTGCAAAGCGGGATTGGAACTGTATTTTGCCCATGTCGGCGGGCTGTCTAACATTGTCTGGTTGTGATCATGTGGGCGCGCTAGGACGACACGGCTGAGACCTCTTGTGATGAACCACCGGGCAAAGAAAATCATAACTTTTTGTTAAAATGAGAGATGAAACTCTGATTCAAAAATCAAATTGTTTAAATAATAAGGATTCCTATTATAAGTATTAATAATAATATTGTTCAAACATTTTGTTCGGTTTTGAAAACTAAGAGTTATTCATAAATACCTCAGACAGTTTAGCTATTCCTATTGGTCGAGAGCCCGTCACGTGGCCGGTATTAAACGGATGATAAAGACATGGCTAGCTGGTCTTAAACACTTTTCCAGTGTCACAATAAAATGTGGACTCCTAAAAATCCAGTGCCTCTTACCGTTTCATTGGTTGAACGTTCACAATCCTCACGTAGGCATGCGCAACACTACAAGCGAGTCAGAATTTTATAGTTCTAAATTTAAAACGCAACGCCCCAGGTGCGTTCTGTGTGACATCGCGCAGAACATGTTACGCGCGCGTCAATCTCCATAAAAGGGTTGTTTACATCTTACTCGCCAGCTGAACACTCCATTATTTTGCTAGAGGGATGTTTAAAAAAGCATGAAGTGAACTTGTTGAACAAAATCAGGATTTTTTGAACGAATTATTTGATATTTTTTTACGGATAAGGTATTTATGAATGGGAATAAATATGTGCTCGGTCGGTATTTATCACTCTGTTTAATACCGCTTAGAGTCTGGGTGCTGATAATTATCAGCACCAAGACTCTAAGCGGTATTAAACGAGTGATAAAAACCTCCGGAGCACACATTTATTCCCTTATTAATATAAACAAAGTAATTGCAGAATACCCCGAGTGGTACACGGATACAGAGTGGGAGTCCCCTTGAATATGCTTGAGAACAAAGCAACACAAAAGGAATGGGAGTTGCTGAAAAAATTCTAAGTCCAAGCCAACTACCCTGTTGACGGCTACGTGGTTACGAAGTGGGAGTGCAATGGAGCATGACGCATAGTACATACAAGTAGCGCTGAGAATGTTTATTGAGGTCAACCAACCGTGACCTCGTAGCCGGCTACGAGGTGGATAGATCGAGTGGCGGGGTATTCTGCAATTGTGCCTGGAAGTCGTGATAAAGAGGCAAAATTTGGGTACCAAGTTGGCTAGGTGCCGACCAGGTGACGAGTTGGTAAGGTGCCGAGTTGGCAAGGTGCCGAGATGGCAGGTGCCGAGTTGGCTAGGTGCCGAAGTAACCGACATTCGTTTCCCCCACCCCTTTTTAGGGCCATGGACCAAAATTGTTTGGAAAGATCAGAGTTCAGTGTTTAAACTCACAGACATCCGGTTTCTTACATGACGAAACGTGCAAACATGAGGAAAACCTGGTTTTCTGGTTGCAGAAAATCGGAAAAATGGAACCATGCATTTTAGAAAAATGTTAAAACTTTGCGCCTCCATACATGCCTCCACTTTGAGCCTCTATACATGTCTCCCACACTTTGAGCTGCCGTACACATAAGTTGATCTAGAGGTCCCATAAAAACATTGTGCAGCTGACCAGCGCAAATACAATGTATGTCAATTATCAATTGAATGGTTCTTTAAAAAAAGTCCTCTTGGCTCTTGACCAATGAGTCAGAAAGAAAAGATGAAATGTACTTCAATAAAAAGTAGGATTTTAATTGGAGCTACCAAGCAGATTTAGGCCAAGCACGTGACGTGAATTCAAACCTTCAAACAATATACGGTGCAATTCCCTAACAATAGCCTTTGAAAAATGTGCTGAAACAACAGCCATTTGATTCTATAATTAAACTCTCATTTTGTAATGCAAGTAAAACTGCTCCAATTTGGATGTTACTAAGTAAAATTAAAAGTATTTAAGTTATAGGATGTGTTTCACTGGTCTGAAGCCAGACAGTGGAGAAAATTAGGTAGAATGCAGAGACCTGGTGCAACTTTCCCCACACAACCTCAATGATTGTTACGCAATTGCAAATATGTTCGAAAAAATGTTACTTCAGAACTGAGAAAGTCTCCAAATATATAAGAAACTACAGTAAGAACATTTTCACTTCTCCTCATAGACTCCAAATACTACATACTTTTTGTTGAAACTTAAATTTACATTTTCTACCCAGGTTTTGTGAAAAGAGTTATTGGTGACACTGAATTGAATAAACAGCTACATATAAAGTTTCTTCTTCCTTATCCCCTGTCTAGGACCAGGCTACTAGACTGCCTTGACCAGTCACTCTTGACACATGTGCAAAAGAGTTGCACTTACTGAATTCTTTAACACACACTTTTTAACTTAGTATTATTCTGCATATTCACACACAATACGAAATCCAACGATATCACCTATTTTGAGAAATTGGCCACTTATTTTTTTGTCTAGAAGCTGCCAAGCATTTCTACAAATTCATAGGATTTAGCTGTATATCATGGGGCGTGTACAATGAAGATATGTGCAAAATGAACTCTGTTTAGCATTATCTTCAAACAGTCGTGAGGGGATATCAGGCATGTCAGTTGCTGGGAGCTTGGGGCAAAGGCTGACAGCTCGCAGGGGCAGTTGGCACCACTCCAAGCTTGTCGCGACACTCAGCCAAGGAGAAGATGCAACACTTGCTGAGGCTGAAGAGAAAGAGCTTCAAGAAATCCTGAGAATCTCAGCCTCCAACAAGAAGCTGAAGAAAACAAAGTAAGTGAAACAGATGTTTGGATTAATGAGGGTTCACCTGACTGGTGTTTTTGGCTTTTTACAAACATGATTTGGTAGTAGCACTAATCTCTTACACGATTACTTTGCACTCAAACCCTTGTCCTTCTTTGTGTGCAGACTTCCAAATGTCTTAAACAAAATTTGTAATAATCTTTTTAGCTGATGTCTGCTGAGTGATGAATTAAGAGCTTCTTTTTACAAAAAAAAAAAAAAATAGTCTGCACTTCCAATATTCTTAAAAGGTAGTCGTGGGTACAACAAATTGGATGACTGTCATTGAATTTAGTGAAATCCTTCATCATGGGTAGACTGGGATAAAGTCTTTGTTTGTACACCATCTGCTTACCACTAGCTGTTGATTCAGTGGGCATGCAATCCGATGTTCAAATAGGAGGCTGGTGTAGCACTTGATGGGCTTTAGGGTTGCAGGTCTCCTGTGCTTTTTTCTCACTGTCCATGAATGACATAGCATTTTGTGCATTTTGTCGCATGTTTGTGAATTCATGTCAGTGTGGACATAAAGTAAAGAAAGTCACAGTTGGAGAGGCCCACTGCCTGGATGACTCGAGGCTACATTCTGTGGAGGCTGTGTCAAAACCTGCAATGTAATAAATGAAATACCCGTAATGTAATAGGTGGGAATTTGCCAACATTTTAGGAACTGAAAGGGACCATCATAGCCAGGATGTCTGCAGAAGGCAACGTTGGATTGCACACTGTTGCCAGCAGGTGAACTGGTACAATTATCACATGTGCTACACCAATAACTGATTGCAATGCAATGGACATTTATTTGTACAAGAACCATTAGCATGATTGTGTTATGTCAATGTGCCAGTTATACTGGACCTGTTTGTAAACTATGTACAGTCTTGATGGTGATAGTAGCTGCTTAATATGAATCCCCATCATTTTGATGTTTAATTTTAATGCTACAATTTCCTTTGAAATGGAAAAATATAAACATCCATCTACACATACTTGTACATAAAAATTATACTGAATGATTTTTTTTTTTTTTTACAGATGTCATGAAAACAAATTTTTGCAATTCAAGCCCAGGAGCTCTGTATAGAGTGCTAAATACTTTGTTTTTCTTATTTTATACTTTAGTTTTTGAAATTAGTTTGAAACTATTTTAAAGTTTGCTTTTTGGTAATGTATTTAAAAATTTGGTTTTTGAAATGAGTTTGGAATTATTTTTAAAGTTTGCTTTTTGGTTATGTAAAATTTCAAGTTGATATTACATTATGGGGCCTATTTAGTTACGTATTGGATACATGTACATATTACATTACGGGTTGATTATTACATTGTGGGTCCAGGTGGTAAAGATACTGTAACGGCAAGTTCAAGAGTTGAGGTTCAGTTTATAAGTACATCTAGAGCATCAATAGGAGGCCTCAAGTGGTACAAATGTGGATGGAATATTCATTGCCAAGAGGAAGTGCAGAAGTTGTGGTTTAATTGGAACTGAAAGTACAGGAAAACAATACTTTAGAAAATACCAGTCCATGGCTAGTGTTAGCCAGTATTTAGTTGTTAGTATGGCCGGGAGTCTTGCAGAATGGAGCGCAACAGGTGGGCAGAGCAAGCCAGCCATGGCATGCCTTCTTAAAGAACATGAAGAACTGAGTCAGAAACCTCAGGAGCTTGGTGGGCACTTTGTCAGCATTAATAAGTGAGTAATTATAATTACAGACAAATTAGTTGTTGAATAACAGTGAACATATTTGTTCTTACTGGAGCATGGGCCATTTGATTGGCTTGGGCTACCCAACATTTTGGAAATTGAGTCTAATTCTATCCATGATTATGATTCCATTCATGGAATAAAAAAATCCTACTGCAAAATTAAACAAAACAAAACAACAGCAAACTAAACATCAAACAAAAAACGGTAATTAAAAATTCCACAAAAAATCTCCATAAAAAATCTACTTATAAACTGTAATAAATCAATAATGAATGAGTGCTAATATGAGATCATGAAGAATTGGAATTTCTCTCTACAACGTGATCATTTACCACCTAAAAAAGTTTCAAAATTACAGTTGTCATGGACGAAATAGATCAGCTAGTACTGTTATATGCCATTTAGGCCTATAGTCTCTGTTTCTTCCACAATTGCCTTTAATACGTTGATATAGTGGATGCTGCTTGAAATCAACTCTCATGGAACTAGAATCGACTGCTGCAGAAAGTTGAATACTCTTTGCAAAGTTGAGTTGCAATAAGCCAATTCGACATTTCGCTCGCGCTTGAACAATGCAATTTTTGAATTTAACAAAACACGTCACATTGTCCTTGACCAATAGATAGCAAGTTTACAGCATCACATGGTTTTCCAAAAATTGCATTGCTCATTCATTGCTCACATGAGATGTCAAATTGACGAATCTATTTTATTCTTGTTCAGAGTCAATCAAGGCTAAATTTGATACAAATGATTTTTTTCTGAAGTTCATACTCTCTTGATTTGTCTTTTAAATGTAGGGTCTCAGAGTCCGATGGACATTTTTTTGAGAACTTCTCCGCATTGACAGACCAGCAAGAGAGTTTCCACTTTAGGCAAAATCCTGGCGGTTCAGAGGTAATCCTTTTAAACAGAACTTGTGCTAGTACGGTTGTAAAATATAAGCTCCAAGCCACTTGGAGTTGGGCATGTTAAAGTCTTGATTTTCTAGTATATATTACTGACAAAAACTCTTACAATTTCTTCAATTGTCTGAGATGTTAGCATTGAGCAAACTAATCTTAGCATTTAGTAAGATTGTACTTCATGACAATCATGGAATCATGATGTTGTGTTCTAGTTCATCCACCGTTAATGAAGGCAGGAAATGTGACAATTAATATTCAATCCATGTATTCATTTATATTGTCCAATTGCAACATTTGGGGTGAGGTAAAGCAACAGAACTGCTCATACTTATTTTGTGGGTTAAAAAAAGGGTATTTCAAAGTTGTACTGGCAGTGCTCATAAACAAATTCAATGCTTTTTCTCCTACATGTAACAACTTTTCAACGTGATTGTTTTAATTGAAAGAAGAATTTTACTCGTTTTAATAAAACGTACATGTTGAAGATTTGCTGACAGAAACAATTGTTGAAGAGCAGCAACAGTACATTTCTAAGAATCCTCTTCCAAGAAATAATTAGGATTTGGATTTTCCTTTCACTCTAGCAAAATGAAATATCCGTTCCAGTTGCATATTTGAAGTTTTTAGGCTTAGCATTTTATCATGTTTGTATAGAATCCGTAAAAATATACATTTTCATAATGGAATTATTTCTACTCTGGAACAATAGAGAAAAGTATTTATGAATATTGTAAAGTGATTTGTTCTTAGCTAAAAGTGCTATATACATGTAAATACCAGTGATGTTGAGTACCGGTAGTCATTGCATTCTATCATTTGATTAATGGTTCCTGTGCTTCCTTGTTTCATTCTTGTGGGTATTGTTTGCTTTCAATAGTGGGATTTTTTATCATTTCTGTCTGGATTGCACAATCATTGAAAAATTGAGAACTTGCACACTTGGTGCCCGACTAAATGTAGTGCAAAATATATGGGATCCCAGAGAGGCCACATAAAGCTTATACTCGATCGTAACCCCATCTAAAAACACGTTAAAATTGTGCAGCAGCAGAATTCGAGTCAAACTAGTGAGTTTGGCGGCTTTGAGACACCATCTTACATTTAAAAAAAAACCTTTTGAATTTTGCCGACTCGCATGGCTACAGCGATGCATGCACAGACCAGAAACCCGAGACTTTTTTGTGGCCTTACACATAATACAGGAACTGGTTGCAACATTGTCGGTGATATTAGTACTCTAACCAGCATCTTTTCAACTACAATGTGCTTGAGTTTCTAGTTCTAGGTTATTTGTGATTTCCACCATTGTTGTTTGTTTTTTAACGACCAGGTTCCTGAGCAGACAGAAGATGATATCCTTGCCAGTAAGATTGATCACCCCTGCAAGGATGTCCCCAAGCTCAGCAAAAAGGAGGTACATGTATGCGTGGGCAAATCATTTCAGTCTGCAAAAATGTCAACCCTCTCATAGCCTTCAATATCCACAAGGATATTTTACAAGAGTTTGTTGGATAAAGGAAGGTAGAGAACAGGTGCTTTTAAACTACATGGAGCCCGAGGCCCCTTGAAAATTTAAACACAAAGTATGTGCCATTTGGTTCTTGCAAAGTAGTGGCTTTTTAACCTAGCAAAAATAGTTTCATTTAAACACCGTCAGGGTCACAATTCTGTTAAAAGTCGGCCAGTTAAATTTATTTCAGATGTTGCCAAGCTCATAAAAAAACAGCTGCTTGATTAAAAGCAATGCAAGGATAAGGAAGTGTTTGTACTTTGCTCTCTGAAGTTGGCCACATAATTTTTACGTAGCATATTTATCCACACTTGCTGTACAGAATCCCATTCTAATAATAACATGCATAGTTTATAATTAACCTATCGCGGTAGAATCGCATCGACCCAGCTTATGAAATATTGTCTAATTACATGATATACTATTGGACGCGGAACAAAACTTTACATACAAATTCTACAGGGTTGTCTTTGGGGCGTGGCTAATTTGCAAACGGCGATAGGTCTAATGAATAGAAGACTTTAGTTCCTGAATTCTTTACATTAATATCTTGATGGTTTTCTTGTCTAGATTGTGGATCTCTATCGCAGTATCTTGTCAGTCATCCAGTTTCGCCTTTGTGCCTCTAACCAGTCCTTCCCTCCTGACCTGGAACTGTATGGATACATGCACGATGTAAGTTCACAATAGAACTTAAATAAACTCATGAGCTCATGGCAAGTATTTGTGATGCAAATAGGAAAAAGTTGAACACATTTTAACTGTCAGCCAATTTGACCATGAATACTTCTTGATGTCAAATTTCAAACACATGAAAACTCAAATAAAACTAAGACCCCAACCTCTCTTTCTCCAAAAATAGAGAATATGAACAGTCATCATAATCATAGAAAACTATAATACAGATTTCACCCCAACTATATTTACTTGCAAAATATCATATATATTTTTATGATTTTCAAAAATTGGTCTTCAACATTTGGTTGTCATACAGAAATGGGATCATAGCAACCCCGAGGGAATAATCAAGGGTCTGAATATGTGTGAGAAGAGACTGGCCTAGTTGGCGGTATCAGCAGTCAGGATTTCCACTTGGAACCATGTTGACTAAAATTTAATTGCTGTAACTATTCCTGAGATATATTTGTTGTACTGTCTGTTGTAGATGTTCAAGGTCTATGTGTCTGTAAATGAGCATAACAGCATGGTCTTAACCATCAGCAAAGGAGCTGTAAGTATTCCATTCTTTTTGAAGTTAGTAATAAAATTCCACATTCCTTTTTTTGATGTTCGTGTACGAGGCAAACGAGCTCGAGGCATAGTAAAAACACGCGTGCACATGGCGTTCCGAATTCCGATTGTCAAAAGCGGACATTGTAAATGGCGATTGTGTATTAATTATAAGCCCGATTCCCTAAGAGAACAAAATCAACTTTTAATCCACATTAAGAACATGCAGGTAGGTTATAGATAGAGAGAAGGGTTTCGAATTTTTGAGGGGAATTTGGAGGGAAAACAACAACGAAAAAAACGCAACTCGAAAATAGAGATGGCGATCGCACGTCACCAACTATAAACCGCTTACAAAAAACGTAATTTCTATCCCCCAGAAGTGTTCAGAATTACAAAACAGGTGCCATATAAGCTGAGAGAAGTCTGATTTAGGTTGAAAAGGTAATTTTTTGAATGATAAAAACACCTTTGACTCAAATTTGATCGAAACTAAAGAGGGGCCCTAAACTACATGATCGCTGATATAAATTCACATTTTTTTTAGCCGGCCTCTGTGCCCCTTCTGCAGATATTAGTTTGGCCTTGGTGCCCTCCCAACTGGCCTTGGTGCCCTCTATAATTTTGCTCCATTCAAGGCCAAAGTGGCCTTGCCCTAAAAATTCTCAAATTCAAGGCATGGTTGTATTACAGAAACATGGAATCTAAATTGACCAATGACAATCTTAGTCCTGATTTCGGAATGAAATGACGTCACGCATGCTTAGATTTATCGGACGTTAGACAGGAGATGGGATACATTGATAACAAGTGATACTCAGACTAGGTTTGAACCTCCGACCTCTGGAATACTGTACCAGTGTTACATATATACCAACTGAGCTTATAGTAGATTAGTAGATTTGATATACTTGCTTAGGATTGTTGATTATTTGAGACAAATTGATTGAAGTGAAACGCCACCAAGAGTTGAATGATGGTTGTTTGTATTTGTGCCCAGTAAAAGCCCAAACTTGACAACTTCTGATAAGTTGTTCAAACTTGATTGATCTTTGCCAAATACCTTTAATCTGACCAGATTCTCAAACTTGCAATAATAAACCGACAGATCGTCACATATTTTTTATTTGTTCTGCCTTTTGTGCCATCTTTATTGTGTATATTGATGTTTTGACCAAACGAGATATTATTCAAGCACAGCCAAACATAATGAAAATGGTCAACCACAGACTAAAGACTCAACTGCTCCTGGATTTGGTCGTGAAAACTTTTAGGACTAAGTGGGGGGGGGGGGGCAAAAAATCTGGTTACATTGCTTGAAGGTCTTTTGTGAAGAATGTCTGTCTACTTGCCTAGTAATAAACAAGATATATTTCATTCTAATTCTCATTGAATAGAAGGACAAGACTTTCATTGTTTTGCTTTTGTGTTGCAGCCCCCAGATACTGTTCTAATGGTTACAGTTCAAGAAGCTAAAGATCTGATTGGGAAAGATGTCAGTGGTATGTTGCACTGTATTAGACAGTCATCAGAAAGATAATCATGGCTCACTTTTTTTTTCTGACACAGGAAAATGTTACTTTGCATGTTTGAATGTTTATAATTAACTTCAATCAAATTGTCAAATGCACTAATTTGAACATGCGAATTCCATTCAGTGCACCACATCATGCATGAAATGGGTCCATTGATTGTAGATGTAGGGGAATCACTGGGAGCCTGCAGGTGGCAAGAACAGTGTTTGTGTGCAAGAGGTGCCGGGTGCTTTGCCACAAAGAAGCACTATCGGTAATGGGAATATCTGAGGCTACATGGCGGGGGTCCGGGGGGTTTTGAATAATACCAGCATGCCTCTAATCAAAGTTCATAATGGGCTTTCATTACTTTTCATAAATTGACATCAATTGAAGATAATCTAAGCCAAGTACATTGATGGTCATGTATAGAAAATTTGCCAAAACATGATCAAATATGCACGGAATGCATGTTCACCCGCCATACCACATGCATACATGTACACTGGTGGCAGCTGTTAGAAAACACTGGGCATTCACTATGTCAGGGAAAAAGTACATAATTGTCCACAGACAAATTTGTGTGAATGAAGACGTTAAAATCATTGCAAACAAAGTTTGAGAGTATAAACACCTAATGCCATTAGAGTACAAGACATAACAGATATGCAGTGCATTCTATATTTGATGTAAGATAGCAAAAGTAATTTCTTTGTACCAACACCAACAGTTGGTTTTGTTTTTTGTTTTGACGTGTTACCATTGTGGCCAAAGAAATATATGTATGTATCCAAAAGAGGAAATATCAATGACTAATCTTGTATGTGTAGGTCTGAGTGATCCCTTCTGTGTGATGGGCATACTAGCGTCCGGGGAATCTAAGAAGCCATTTGTCACTAATTCAAGAGTACCACACGGTACATGCTCTCCTCATCTCCATCACAAAGAGAAAGGTAGTCATGGCAACCAAGATCTCCAATCAACAAGCATCATCAAGGAGCAGCTGAACCCAAAGTGGAATGAGAACTTCCGGTTGTAAGTAAACAGTTAATTTGACTAATTAAATCACAGATACAGCAGTTTTTTGTATGGTGCATTTTTGTCTTCATTTTATTGGGCAAGTCTTGGAACATATCTCCATAGTGATATTCAAGTCCTCAAAGTCTTCCCAACTCATTCACAAAGCAATCACAAGTTATCCAGTCATGCTGTCCCAGTTTCTAGTGACTAGCTTTTTAAGTGAATTGTGATCAAAGGCATTCCTGTGTTCCCAGCAGTTAATACTTTTTTCTTACTCATAACCTTACTTGTGGTTGACTGGACGTCATCTTTGTATTCTTTTTACTGTTCAGGATAAAAATCTAAAGTCAAAAGCAGGAATGAACATGCTAGTACCAAAATGAAGGATTTGGGGTAAACTGGCCTTTAAATTTCTACGAGAAATGTATCCTGCATGTAGTGTTTTGTGCTAGCCAAGAAGAACATGAACATTCATAAAGGATAGAAATTCTCCTCGTTAGTGCATTTAGGCAACATTTTAAGTATAATTGGTATGCCAATTCATATTTCTTGCAGATGAAAGCAATTGGTAACATTGAAGCATATCAACTTTGCGATAATAATTCAGTAGTTTGCTTAACCCCTTAACGTCGGTATTGTTTGGCCACGACAGCTGCACTTTGAGTGGAATGTGTACGTGCAGGCATTCTGCTGTTGTCTATGAATGAATGCGCTATGCAGCAGGAATGCAGCTATAGCAGTCCCCCGGCTTATCGGCTTTTATCGAGCTGCGTCTAGAGCCGTCCGCCGGCGTCAAGGGGTTAAGGATAGTAACCAATAATTTATTCAGGTTAAGCCAAATGTTTTATTTGTATTTTTCAGTGTTCTTGGTTGTGCTGTACAAACTGGCTGGTTTCACATTGATGTTTGGTAAGTCCTTATTAAAATCACTCAAAAGTTGCAGCATGGCACTTTTATGTAACCTTTTTGAACATAATAGAACAACCAAGGTACATACATCAGATGTGTTAGAGTGGTCCATTCCATTTGTTGACAGGGACCATGATGAAGAAACTACAGTCATGGAGGTGGTGAAGAAGTCTGGAGACATTCAGAGTGTCAAAGGAGTGAAAAGGTAAAAGTGCATTTTGTACATGTCAAAGGTCATATTCTTGAATCCGACATCTGACCTTTAATATGCAAATACTTCTGCTTCTTGTTACCCGACCGCCCCTATTTTTATGGCGTGACCCTAAAACTTTTATCATTTTAAGTTAAAAAATAATTGAAAATGCGTTTGTCTTTTCCGTCTTTACGAAATTACTTCTCAACAGCATTTTTTACGTCAAAAATGCTTGAAACATTTCTGCTGTCTGTATTTGTTCATGTGTGTCACCATCTAGCTTTATTTGGGCTTGATATGCAAACTATAACTTTCAACTTGAACTAATCGTGGTGACCCCGGGATTTATTCAAACTAAAACATCCAAATGAAATTACCACTTCTTCTGTTTTGAACTTATTGATAAATTTATTTACAGTATATACAACATCCAGAGAACTAAACATACATGAGAAATTTGCTGAAGTTTGGGGTTTGGTTACAAGATTCCTTTTACACCGTATAAATATCTTGGAATGGTATGGGTTTGCTTATTCTTTACGTACAATTGTGATGTACGGAAGGAAACCTCTGGCTTTTTTCCCCGAGGCGACTAGCGAGTTCCGTTCATGGTGAAAGCATATGTGGTATGCATGCATCAATGGTAGATTTGTTCCCGCTGCACGCTCAAAGATAATAGCCAAAGTGATGATGGAAGGACAGTCTGTGACCTTGACATCGTAAAATAGCAAGCAAACATTGAGGGAGAAAGCAGACTTCTGCAAGTTAATTCACAGAACTTGATCTCTCTTTTATGTGTATGTATTTTCTGTTTTCATGTATTTATTTTGAGGTCTTACCACTCGTACTTGAGGTAATACAGCGTAGCGTGTTCCCCAAAATTGTGCGCAGCTGGTGCAAGGGCTGTTGTGGGCTAGGTGCTACACAGTGCAGTCACACACGCTGATACCACACGATAGACCTTATTCACAAGGAAGTCATTTTTGATTGTGTTCCCTGAATGTATTTCATAAGTTGTAAACTGTTGAATGAGATGGTGTCAGAATGTTTATGGAAGCCTCATTTTCATTTTTTTTTTTAAATGTAGCTTAAAACGCTAGAGTATGGTTAATCACAAATTTTTAAATATTCATCCAAGTGGACTGGTATTAATTTGTAATTAATTTTATTTCATTGTTTTCATTTCTCTTCACAAGTTCCAAAAATGAAGATTTGACCTTGTTTCAATTTAATATGGCCAACACGTGAATAAAGCCTGTATACGGACCATGTTGGCCAGTATCCGTGTGTGACTATCGTTGTGTTCTGTGGTGTGCACGACTTAAATTCTCAATTATTTTATCAAATAGTTTTGACTTTAATTAAGGCAGTTTTTGGTCACTTTTGGGGGCCACTTATAGCTTTTGTGGCGTAAATATAGCTTTTTTGGGGCCAAAAATATGCATATGTTTGAATACTCCATTTAATCAATGACAAACAAAATAGTGCAAAATATAAATATTTTCTTACTTACCGACCCTTGGAAAGGGATGTAATCAGAAGCAGAACCTTTTTTGGGGGCCTAACCAAAGCTTGTATCTAAATGAGTATGTGTTATTATAATAAGATATTGGATTCTTGTTTGACCTGTCGCCCCCTCCTTCACTCTTTCCTTCCTAGATGTTCTTGCTTCAATACATCAAACTTAGTGATTCATGTTTATTTAGTCTGTGGGAAAAAACATCAATCACAGTTTGAGTTGTTTCCGATTTAATCAATCTTTTGAATTTGTGTTGCAACTCTAGCTGACTGTATGGTGGTAAGTGTATATGGGTTCAAATTCTGTGGTTTATGATTTGGATTGAAGGTGGTGTGAGGCATGTTATGTTACCATGGTGTTTGGTGTTTGTGAGACCAATTTAATTTTTGTGAACTTTCTTTAACTTTTGTAGCTGCTGAAGTCATATTGTACAGTGTATTATAGTATGTGTGATTGGGACCTGTTTGCGTAGCAGTTTTGTAAGATATTTTTGTTTGGATCCAGTTTTTGCACAAAAAAATTGATCACATGGACATCCAAGATTGTTTTGCTGCATCATTTGATAACAGCAGAGTGGAACAATATTGTTGATAGACTGGCTAAGAACCTGAATCAAGGATTATTAACAGACGATTGGTTTTATTGTTTCCTAATACGGAGGTGTACATACTCATCTATTCATGTTTGCATGTAAGTTTTGGCTTGCTGGTTTATTTTGGCCCTGGGCTTGGGTATTTTGCCCATTCTTCAATAAACAGAATCTTACTCCAGCATTGTTTTTTAGCAGTTAGCATGATTTGAAAACTTTTGGTCAGAAATTGAATTCACTTTCCAGTACTTTATTGATATCAGGTTGGTGCTATGCATTTTACTTTTTATTCGGTTGATTTATTATCACATGTTTTGCCGAATGTCATTTTCTGCCTGAGACTGCTGCACACAGGTCAAATGAAACTCCGGAGCACCTCATAGCTGATCAGGAGTGTCTGTCACGAGCCAATATGTGATGCGATTAAGCTAAATCAGTCGTTTGTCGTCCCCGGTCAAATTTTTTTTATTATAGATTTGAAAAGAGCACAATCTCAGCATTATTGCTGTGAAAACCGCATGCTGATACCATCTTTAGTTCAAAAATTATGGAATTTGGAACATCAAGAGATGTGATGAAGTGATGTGATGAAGTGGCCTTATTTTGGCCTGTATCTCCAAATGAAAATTCCCGACAAACGACTCATGTAGCTTTATCGCATCACATATGGTCCATCAGGCCAGCATTTATCTCTAGTTTCAATGGCATGAATCAACTGAGAATATTTCTATTCCCCCTGGATGGGATGTCAGTCCATCGCAGGTTACTCCCAGCTAATGCCAGTACCCATTTGTACTCTGGGTGGAGAGAGGCAAGTGGCGCAAAGTAACATCCCAAGGACACAACATGTGGCCAGCAGCTGGATTTGAACCCCTGACCCTCTGATCGTGAATCACGAACCCTAGCCACTAAACCATACTCCCCCATTGGATCTTTTCTATACTTACATTATGTGTTCCATCCACAAGTATTTTGGTCGCAAAGAGAGTGGTGGGGGAACTCTTGAATGCATTGCTGCCATATGTCTGGTACACACATTAAGATGCTATGGGTTTATGCACAAACAGATGAAAATGAATGTTGCACATTTCACATAATACAGAGTTGAAGCAGTAGGCGCACACTGTGTGTCTTGCACACACAGCTCTCATCAATGGTCATGGAGGGCCATGTACTGTTCATGCACACAGTCCGTAAATTAAATAAAGTCACATTCATAATTAGGGCTCTGTCAGGTCCAAGCCATGTTCAGATAAATAGTATACCTTCACCAAACCCTTTCTCTACTACTGCAATAAAAATACATCAATTTTCATCAAATAACCTAATGTTTACTGCATGGAAATAACAACATGGTTGAGCTGCCACACATTCCAAGGAATGTCAAGCTTATCATCTGAGAGGCAAAAACTCGGCACCTTCCAAATCTCTCCAATTTTAGTCTTTGCTGAACAGGGTTTGCAGCCTCCAATGTTGCTCCGCTGTGGAATGTATTTGCATATCTTGTTGACTGGTGAAATATAAGAGCAAGACATCTGTTCCTGTGATTTACAATGAAGACTGCACATGTCATACAAATAATTTTTAAAGCAAAGAATAATCTGATTGCCATTTAGTCACAATACAAGACAAAATTCCCTTTAATGGTTACTTAAAGGTAAAAACAACAACATTTGATTGACCACAGATTGCTGAAGGAGGTGATTCAGTCAACCAGACTCGGTGGCAGTAACCCGGATGACTTCCTGGGATATGTGAATATCAAACTGGATGTGAGTCACAATGACATCTATAGTTAGTATTCATTGAACTCTTATATACTGACTGGATATATCCAGTGCATCGAGATCATAGGCTGAAGTCACAAGGTTGCCATCTTGAGGGGCCAAAATGTACACAAATCTTTGCCTCGAGTCTTAGTCCACATCGACATAAGAGACACAGAATACATTGTAAATAACACCCAAACTGCAATTCAGGTTTTTAAAAACATTTCATTGCTAACTAATGCAAACTACTTTCCAAGTTAAAATTTAGCTGATCAAGTGTATCAGGTTGCTAAAGTAGGCCATACAATACACATGCTGACGTGCCATGCTACAGTGATGTCCACCTCACCATTTCACCCTTAAGTGGCAAATGAAACTACAAATGTCACTAGATTTAATAGCCAACCATAACTGAAATGAAGTATTAGTTTATTGTCAAGTGATTACTTTTGGTATGATTCATGTATTTTGGCCAGGCTATTCCAAGCTGGGGTTTGAGTGGTTGGTACCCGCTCAAGAGCAAGTCAAGTCGCTCCAAAGCATCAAGTGGAGAAATCTTCCTCAAGCTCAAAATGTCTCTACAGGTAGGCAGCCATCTTCACCTGGGTCCCTGAAGGTTGATGTAAGATATTGCTGTAAAACTGACCACGCCATTGAACCATACCATCTTGGTTATGAGCACAATTTTGAGTAAACAAGAAACAGAAAATATTTATTCAAATATTTTGCCATTGATTGTACACTGAAAACCTGTTTTACATATGATTCAGCATGCAGGCTATTACATTATAAAGTTTCCTATTCAATCCAAAATGGATGGAAGTTAATTTTTTGTTTTCCATTTATAACAGCGAACCAGAGAAACAATTGATGAAAACAAAAACTGCCTTGTGGTTTCACTCCAGCTCCAGCCAGCGTGCTGCATGGTGTTTTGTGTCGCATACAAAATAAACACAGTGAAAACACAACTTTCAGAATGCGAAATAAATTATTTCCTGTGCACTTTTTGTGTCTTGGTTTTAGCGAGCTGATCAGTCGTACCAGGTGCTAAGCCCAACTGCTGTCCATCGTATCCTATGGTTCCACATTGTACACTATGAGGTAGCCAGGCTGGATCAGCTAGGAGCATGGGATGGTGAGCTACCATCTAGGGCTATGACCATCCTACAGCAACACGCTGTGCAATATGAGATCTCTGACTTGCATCAGTCCCTCTGGTAGGTACACTCAATATATCATAGATTCCCAGTTGCTACTACCCAGTGAGGTGAAAGTATTGACTTACCCTGCAAGACAGGAATTAAAGTGTAGAATTTGTTTACTGATATTTCATATTTGTTTCAGTTATTTGAAAAAGTAATTAAATTTTAGTCATTTCAAAAGCCAACAAATTTTGAAATGGAAGTTGTTGAGAATAAATATTTAAACCATATGAAGGTTTTTCCTGATATTATGTGTCTGGAATTTTTTTCTTTTATTTTGTTCTAATATCAGTCGCTGGCTGGCCTACAGTCAAGAGTGCACCATGTGTGTCATTGACTTCAAGTCATTTTACACATACGGAGAGACTCTTAAAAGATCATGGAAGCCGTTTGCATTGTCTGCAGATGAGGTGAGTTGTAGACCAGACAACCCATATTTAAAGCAAGATATCCCTGTGTTGGTTGGAAGAACACAGTGGCAGGTGACAGGTGCTTGTGCAGACTTTGCAGCAGAGGGTGTCCACATTGCCAATTGTGTTGAATTTGTCTAACATCAGTCATGGTTGCACTGCCAAAGCAAAGAATGTAATGAGCCGTGCATAAAGTCATTATCCCCAACATTATTATGATACTTTCAGCCCAAAAATGCCAATACACATATATCACATCGACTCCGGTAGAAGAAAATAAAGCATACAGAACATTTTTAATTGGAACTGCAACAGCTCACAAATGTTTGTCAAGCTGTCTCCAACCCCCTTGTGATCAACAGGAGCAGTATCTTCAGAAATCTTTCCACAGTTTCATCACCTATGCAGTGGATATGCTGCACAGACAACAGGACATGTTTCCACCAACAAACAAACTGGCACTCCGAAGGCTACAGTATCTGCTTCTGTAAGTCTGTCGGATTAAAAAAAAAGTGTTAATTTAGCAGTTGCTATTATTTTTTAACTAAAATGTTGTTATAAATTATAAGCAGCTCACCTTAATTACCAGCATTAAGTGAATGAACTTGGTCTGAAATAGCAGGCCATGGTTGGAAGTAAGGAACTAAACAAAAATGCAACAAAACAAACAAAATAAACCAAAATAAAAGAGAGGAAGATTAACTGAAATTCCTGAAGTAGAAACCAGCTATATCATCCCAAATCCTGCTCTGAGTTGGAAACCAGAAGTATACATATTCTTTGTACTTTCAAGGATGACCTAGCCATATGAAGTAAGGATTGCTTGGCTTTACCATCGTCACTCTTTGCAATACGCTGTGAAACCTCCTGGTGGATTTTGGAAATTCCACTAGTGTTAATGTTACTTCCATTTTGTTAGATTTGTTGATTTTTTTCCCCCCGAACATTGTCGATTGTTTTGTCCTATGCAGATGTCTGTCTCAGATCAATGAGATGGAGTTTGCTGAGCGGAACGTGTTGTTTCAACCTAACTGTCAGGCCGTCATCCTGGCTGCAATCAAGGTATGTGATTGTCTTCATCTGCCCACCACCAATCAAGTATTACAATAAGCCACTTGCGTGTAACCTATACCCTTTGGGTTTTACATTTGAAAAACGTCTGGTACAATGACTTGCTCAGAATGCTTGGCACATTTTAACTGTGAATTCTCCAGACCAAAGACACTGTTGCTAATCACATGATTCGGGGCAAGCTCTTGCATAGTTACGTAAGAGACACTCAGCACCAATACATCGTTCACAATGGGTGAGAATGGCACAAAGACACCAGACCATGCCGGAGCTGGGGGTTGCTAGCATAAGGCTTGCCCCGAATCACGTGATATAGTAACAGTCTCTTTGGTCGGGAGAATGCTAGGTTAAAACGTGCAAAGCATTGTATTAAGTCAGCGTTCCAGATTTTATTCAAATTTAACACGCAAATGGCTTATTGAGATCATTGCAAGTCAATCACTAGTGAAATCACAAGTCAGGTCATGTTTAACAGGGATGGCAAGGACATAGAAATACCATTGTCGAAGTTCATGTTAAAAGTTTGTAACTTGACTTGAAACTGGATGACTTTTGATTGACCTGTGATTGACATAATTACAACTCTGCCAAAGCCTGTCCCGCCCTGACCACTGTCTGAGCTGTACCCAGCCCCAATTGCTGATGTTAATCCCTGACCAGAAAACAGAGTTGTGAGATGAGCCCAATCAGTATTGATACAAGGAGGCACATTCACAGTGTACCTAAAATGGCAGAAATCTCTTTGGGCTGATATGTCTGAAGTTTGCACAACGTTTTATGGAATAGTTGACCCACCAATAAATATACACTGATGTGGGAATTTCAGATGTTTTGTCCCAAACTAAGATTTCAGACATTTTGGGGCGTTAATGTTTTCCCCTCCCATCCTGTATTGCAAGATTATTTTTTGTAAAGAATTATGTGAAGAGACAGGTATAGACCATTCCAGAAACGCGATCACTGTACACTCATGAGGCCCCCTTCAATGGAGAAACCATTGTGTTTGCTATTGTACAAAGCAACTGCCCCATGATGGATTATCTGAACAATAGCTAGCACAATGCTTTCGCCATTGAAGGGGGCCTCCATGATAGAAGTGATAGCATGCCTGGATTGATCTATAAACAATGCAAACTTTCATTCATTTGGCTGTATGTAAATGTATGCATTGCCATATGGCATGAGCTAGACCATTGCAGAACAAATCATCCAAACTATTTGTTCAGAAAAAAAAAGACTACTTCAGACCAAAACATTTTTGGCTCAAAACTTTGGTGCTATTTCATGGCGCTGGTAAGCACATGTTTCTGCTAACAAGATCTCTGTTCATTTCATGGAGACCGTAAGCAGTAAGCACAGCAAAGAGCATGCTAACCTTAGAGGAAGACTTTACTTAAAATAATGAAACAATGCACAAACTTTACTGTGTCAATTTTGTGAAATAGCTGACGTTTAGCACATATTTTTGGTATTGTAGTAAAAAACAGCTGTTCAGCTAAGCACTTAACTGCACAATGAACATTGGCACAAAGTAGCCAAGTGTTCTTGTGTTTGGACCTGTATTCAAAGTTTGGTTGCCATGCCTTTACATCTCTAGGAGGATATCCACAATTGGTATTCTAAGAAGCAGTCTGAGATGGTAGATGCCAAACCTGAGATTGAGAGAGTCTCCTCACTGGCTGGTCTGACTAACACCATCAATGGCCAATTCCAGCGACTGCTTCAATTTGTCCACAACACCTACCAGACCGTCTTTGAAATTCCCTACTTCACCATTGTGTACAAGGAGATGGATCTGAGAGTACGTTGAATGAACTGCAGATTTCATAACTTTGTGGCATTTTCTTCCCAATAGGCATAGATGTGTCTTTTGTAGCATTTCGTGCTTCACTGACTCTCCACATAGGGGACATTCTTAAAGCAAATTTCATGATGATAACTATACACTATGGTTTCATTGGTCATGGCCCTCATAAATCATTTTGCAGTCTTCATGAAATATGACCTGAACGAATTTGTTAAAGGTTATTTTCTCACTTTTTTCCTATTCTGTAATACTCATAAGCAAATGAGAATACTGTCCAATGAGACCTTGTCTGGTTTATGTAGTCAGTTAAACTTTATTTTCCTATTTTTTTTTTTAAAAGCCCCGCTGTGTCATACTGTGACCCGACTTGTGACCCGAATTGTGACCTGACTTGCAACCTCGTTTCCATGGGTACGATCTTGCTGCGCCATGTTGTTTCTTATCGTGCCTTGCGCGATCTTAACCCCTGGAATTGTGTAATTTAAATGTGCCAAATAGTGACGTATCTAACGCGCAACGCAGTGCTTAAAATTTTGAATTTTTTTGGGTAGAATCAATCCTTTCAAACATGACATTTCAATGACGCGTTATTTATCAAGGATTTATATTAAATGTACGTACCTCTGTCGTCCCTTTACAACACAAGATACAGGTTTTTGGGGATAACAATGCATCCAGAATCATATCGTTCAGTCATCGCGCAGTTTTGAAAAAAAAATGTATGTGACGTGACGCGCAGGAGATAATGCGTGAGCGCATATAGGGCGTGCATTTTTCCAAATACACGCGCAGTACGCTCTGAGTAGCCGGTTAACGTCATTTACATATTCCTCATGGCTAGGGGTTAGTGAAGGAATGCGCATGCACCCATGGAGTCGAGGCTGCCTGACTTGTGACCTGACTTGTTACCCGACTTGTAATAATAATAATAATAATAATAATAATAATAATAATAAAAAATGTGGTGCGTATATAGCGCATTATACCAAAGGTGTCAAAGCGCTTAACAATTATTACCCCTGTTCATCAGGCCACAAAACCACTTCTGCAGCAGCTCAATATCAGCGCATATGGCCCGTACATTCGCAGGTACCCATTTACCGGTACTCCTGGGTGGAGAGAAGCAAGTCGTGACAAATGCCTTGCCCAAGGGCACATGCACCATAACCCCAGGCTGGACTTGAACCCACAACCTGCAGCTTTACCTGCAGACCACAAATTCAATGCCCTTAACCACGAGGCCACAGCACTCCACATTTTATTTATTATTATTATTATTATTATTGCCATATGACCTGACTTGTTTCCTGACTTGTGATTTGACTTGTAAATTGGCTTGTGGTTTGACTTGTGGTTTGACTTGTTTACAATTCCGAATACAAATATTGTTACCATGTAGTTGATGGCTGATGTGACTCGCTGCCTGACCAGCACCGTGTCTCATCACACCCTGGATGATGTAGAAGGCGAGGAATACAGTCAGAGGAGTACTGCTCTATTTGAGCTCTACCTTGCTCTAAGGGACTTCGTTGGCTTCTCTGAAAACCTTACTGAGGGGTAAGTAGTGATTCAGTTAAGTAGTGATTCGTCCATGTCCCGTGCGCACCGAGGCCGAAGGCATATGGGACACAGACGCACTTCATTTTCTGTGTTCCACGAATGCGAGTGGGACACTCATGCTGTAGAGGAACTATTCAACGGTTTAGCCTGTTAGATGTTTGCAGTACAAATAGCACGCGCATCTTAGAATAGCATGATATTCCGAGTGTGATATGTAATGTGGTATTTGTGTAGAGGATTCAAGTTTGCTTAAAGATAAAGGCCAATCTTGGCATCATGTCGGCTTTGCATCCCTGACTTTGAAAATTCCAACTCAGTATGAAATGATTTCTTTTGTCTACACGGACATCAAACCTCACAGTATAAAGTCATAGACATTAACAACCTGCAATGGGGCCAGGGGGTGCAAATGAAACTAAAGCTTCAGGCAAACCCAAGTTCTGTTAAAGGGTCCAAGACAGCAATGCATTATGCACATTGTGGCTCTCTTTCACCAGGATTGTTGTCCTTTTGAAAATTATTATATGATTGAAGAAGATGTATTGATCTAAGTTGCATTTGAACCTGCAATCTTTAGGAGTCTGGCTGACCACCAAACTACCTCACCACCGGGTTAAAATAAAATGCGTATTTATTTATATATGAATGAAGATGGTACTTTTAAAACCAATTCTGCATATTTTAACAATGATATTGATGTTGCCAGTGAATTTGTATCGTATATGTACATATCCTGGGTTTAGCACATCATACCATTAGACCATGATGTAAGGTAAATAGAATAAGTAAATAGAATAAGGTAAATAAGGTAAATAAATAAAGGTAAAAAATAAATAAATAAATAAACAAATAAATAGAAGACAGTTAGCTCAAGACAACCTATTTGTGTCGTGCAGGGACCAGGCAGATCTAGAGATCAAAGGATACCACAAGTTCTTCAAGAAAGCTGTGGAGAAGTGGTTGAATGTATCAAGGAAGAGAGCTGCAGAGAGGATAAAAAAGGCTGTGGAATTGGATCAGGTAGAGATAATATCATTATGGGCTGTGTACATAACAGATAATAAATGAAATGTGAAAATCACTGTAAGCTCAAGGTAGGCCTCCTTGCTGTAGCCTTGAATTCAAGGCTATGTATGTGCTGTATCAGTGTGTGCATATCGCTGGCCATAGCATACCCTGCTCCACATACACGGCAAAACCCCAATCCGTCATCCGTACGAAGCCTGCAGTGCATACTGTACATGCACATGCAGTACCCCACGTGGGACTCCCCAAAGGAGCACAGCCTTGATTAAACTGTAACCTCCAAGTTTTGCGGTTGTGTTCTTGAGAATGAGCTACTTACAATCGAACGTGATCTGATAGACCTTTGATTAGACACACCGTGTTGTTTAAAAACATGGCGTGTGTCGCGTTGCAGCAATGCAACAATCTTTGAACTTTGACGAGATTGGTGTTGAGAAATATACATTATTCATAGGTGGATAATTAACGCATCCATCCACCCCCCCCCCCATTTTTGGAGGACTCCCGTCGAAAAGTAAAGAAACACATAAAACCCAGAAGGTACAGTTTAATCAAGGCTGTGCTCCGATATGACTCCAACATGTACAGTGCAGTACAGTGTATACGCGGATTGCACATGTGACTCTAACACAGTTGCAGTGCATGTATGTGAGTGGTATAGTTTGAGTATGCACTACAGGCTTCGTATGACGGATCAGAGTTTCACGATGTGTGTGAAGGTATGGCCAGCGATGCCTGCCCAATGATACAGCTCAATCTTGCAATGAAGGCTAACTTAAATGCACTACTGTATTGTAGTAAGTGTGCGGACAGAGATTTGGTTGGATTAGCCATGAGCACTGAAATGTCAGCATCAAGCTGTATACCCCTCAGGGAACTGAGATGGTCTGAGGTATGTATTCTGGGCTGGATGAGCTGGAGTAATGTGTCTACTTTTCCTTCTCAGAATCCACAGCAGTTCATCAAAATGTTTTCTTTTGATTTACCAGCCAGTTCTAGACTTTGATAGTGTAGCATTTTGAATTCTCCCCCCCCCCAGGTTGCCTTGGTGGATACGATGGTCAAGCACAGCACATCAGCAGTGGATGTGGCAACATGCTTTGCCCAGGTAATTTGTGCAAAGTTGTTATTTGATTTAACATATACGAAGGGTGTTGGAAAAGACATTAGAAACTGAGTACTTGCAGAGGAAGACGGGCCCAACTCCACCAAACTACTTACTTACTAGTTTGAAATAGTGTTCAAAGTGCTCAAATTGTATACAGTGGTAAGATCCCCAAGAAAAGGCTATTTGGAATGTGGATTCAGGCCTTTCTATGACATAATAATGAGGCCCCTTGGATGGCATTTGGTCTTTCTTCCTATGAGGTACTCACCTGTAATGGATGACTATTATCAATGTTTCTGTCTGGCTTTATGCATCAGTACAGCTAGTATTGGCTTAGTATATTCATGATTTTTTATTGTTTTTCTTCCACAGATTCGTGAGTTTTGGCAGAGACTGGATTGGCCAGACACCGTTGGGAGCTATGTCTTTGTTGCAAAGGTTACCGATGTAAGTTTGATTGTTTTACAGGTTATGAGATTTTATAATTAGATTCTGTACAGTTTTTTGTTTATGTTGTCATGACAATTAATTGTGTTTTGTTTCAATTTACATACTTTTTATCGCTGATTTTTTTTCTTCTAGGATATTTGCCATGGTGCCGTCAGCTATGCCAACATTATTCATGACAAGCTGAGACAGAATGGTTACTATGACGATGAAGGCCAATTTGATGTGACAGACCAGGTAAGTTTGGTAGTCGCCCAGTCTTTGTGCTGAAGCAGTCTTCATTTTTGTAGCTCTTCATTTTTCAAGAGCTTCTAAGTATGGTAATAAGCTAGTTCAATAAACAAACATCTAACTACCAGTTTTTGCCAGTTGCTTATCTTGTTGCTTTTGCTGTGTTTGAAGTTGTGTATTGCCATCAACAACATCGAGCAAGTGCGTCGCTCCCTGGCCATCATGCCTGAGTCATTGGGTTGGCAACGTATCCAGGTTGCCATGGAGATGGAATATGGTGAGATGGCAGGTCGCCAGTGTCAGGATACATTGCAGACCATGATGGCCAGTGCTGATGAAGACATGGTCAATGTGATTGAGCATGTTGTCCAGCGAGTTGGAGAGAGGATGCGACCAGACTTGAGGAGGTTCTTGAGGGCGTTGCTTGCTGCTCATATCCACTCTTGCATTGATGATGTAAGTAAAGATAACTTTCCATGGCATCTCTGTTACATACAACATTTATTATTTCAAAATGTTTATTTTTAAAGATGAGAGTTTAGCTGAACAACAAAAATTGTCTACAGGATTTGAACCTGCAACCTCTGGAAGACAGGACCAGCATTTCACCAAGAAGGACTCTGAAAAATTGGGAGACAACCCACATTCCCACACTGCATGGAATCACCACTGTGGAACCAAATTGAAGCTATTTTTGACAAAGAAAAAGACTCTTTTTCTCTGTTACTGTGGTTGTTGATAAGACTTTACATCATAACCTATTCAGGGGCTCAAGTTTGACAGTTTAGCCTTCCTTCAATAACTGTGCATTACCAATGAGAAGAAACTGTGCTACATAATGGGAGACTTTAATCTTGATCTTACCGAATGTTTTTCCCATCAGCCCACTGAGGATTTTGTGAATACAGTCAGTGCTTGTGGTCTGTGTCTACTGGTCAACAAACCTACCCATCTCACCCCTCACAGCACCAGCCTTACTGATAATATTCTCACTAATAATGACAATGCTACAATTACCACAGGAATACTTAATGCTGATATCTCTGATCATCTTCCTCTCTTTCAGATTACCCCTGATTTTCTTCAACGTCACTATTGCCCACCCAGCACCTACATTGTACACCACCAGGGATGTTAACAATGCTAATCTTCTTGCTTTCAATGCAGATATCAATAGCACTGACTGGAATGAAGTCAATCGTTGTGCTAATGCTGAGACTGCTTATAACACCTTTCTCAGAAAATGTACTGATCTTTATAATTTTCACATTCCCCTTATCACTAGAACACTAGGCAAGGGCAAGAAACATCAGCTATGGATGTCTCAAAGAATCTCCAATTCTTGCAGGTACAAACACAAGCTGTAAGAATGTTATATACGTAACCCCACATCGGCCAATGAACAGAGATGCTTCTGCTTCTGCTTCTGCTTGTAAACTGTACACAACGCCCTGTTGGACTATCTTGGTAGAGTGTTTCGTAATTGTCCTACCCAAATTATACAGGTAGCTAAAATGAATTAATAATCGAGAACACTCGCCGCTAAAAGTAATGACATCAGAAATACATGGCGAGAGATCAAGAACATTCTTGGTAAGAGTAAGCAGAACAACCTTCCAGACTCGTTTGTCTGCGGTCAGCATGTTGTTACCAACCCCTCGGAAATTGCTGATGCTTTCAATTCTTATTTCTCAAACATTGGTTCTTCACTTGCCAGCAAAATCCCATCTACCACTAGAACTTTCACTGATTACCTCTATAATTCTAAGCTTCCTCTTTTTTCCTTGTTCCTACAAAACCTGTTCTGAAATCTCCCAGGTTGCTCATGAATTTAAAAATGCTAGCTGCGGATTTGATGACAGTCACTCTACAGTGGTGAAGTCTGCTATTGCTTTCATCTCTCAACCTTTGGCACACATCTTCAATATTTCTTTTCTCACCAGTTCTGTTCCTTCTCAACTCAAAATAGCTAAAGTGATCCAGTATTCAAAAAGCGTGATCGTCAAGTCATCTCGAACCATCTCCCATCTCTGTTCTTCCTTGCTTCTCCAAAATCCTGGAAAACTCATTTATAAACGTGTCTTTAAATTTCTGCACACTTTTACATTCTTTATGATCATCAGTTTGGCTTCAGAAGTAATCATTCCACAGATATGGCCTTCATCCAACTTGTCGATACTCTTTCTGCTTCTCTTACTGACAGAATGTCCTCTATTGGTGTATTTATTGATCTATCAAAAGCGTTTGATACCATAAATCAAACCATTCTTCTTGCCAAGCTGGAGCATTATAGAATCTGTGGCATCACCCTTCAGTGGTTTGCCTATCACCTCAAGTAACAGGAAACAATTCACTTCAGTCAAACACTGTGACTCCTCACTTCATTCAATTCACCATGGTGTCCCTCAGGGTTTCATAATGGGGCCATTACTCTTTTATATGTTAATGATCTCCACCGGCATCCATAGGCATGCCCCAATAAGCTTCGGCTTTTTAAAACCATGCCTCCATCTTAATATAACTACTTTTTTGTTCTCATGGTGCTTTTACTTTGCTTTTGATGGAAATTAATGTTGGCGGCCATTCAAAATTTTCGATGTTTTTAAATTTAGATTATTGGTCGAAATTTTTTTGACCCACCCACCCACCCCAATTTTTGATCTTAAAATATTGATTTTCCATTCAATAAAAAACATAACGAATGTACAGTTCAGTGACGGCGGAATGCAGCTGCAGTCCGTATATGGTACCTTACCAACAACACGGCCCAAGGGCATTCTCGTGCATAGGGAATCCACCAGGAAACATGCAAAACTAGTCCATTCTAAACGGTAATAATAAGTATCAGCTCGCTCTAAAACAAAAAATAACTTTGCCTTGGCGTAAAGGGGTGTATGACTCCCATTTTTCATTCGTTTTTCTTTTTTTATTCGAAATTTCAGTCGTTTTTGATAGAAAAAAAAATGGAACTCTCAACTTGCGCTTTCCAGACGCGTGGGCACTGCCATTGCACACAGATACCATGCATGCAGGTTGCCTAATTAGTCTTAAACACAAGTAGGTTTATTTTGTTGTCGCGATTCGTAACCGACACTTGTGGCGTGTATTAAGACAAAATGAACCTTGTGTAGTGGTATCCTGCTCCATTTGCACGGCGCACTGATTTTACGCATGCTTTAAGGCTAACTTCACTGGTCCTCATGCATATGGTGCTCCGATTGACATATACACAATACATGGTACATTGTACATGTACCGGATGCATACTGTACCTGAACGGTACGGGCAAAGGCAACCTCGTCCCCAGGGTGTCAAGCAGAACGCGCCCACCACTACCTGCTCTCTCACCCAGGTATTGGATCATTTGCATGTGCAAGATTTTTGAACACGTATGCAAATGAGGAATAGTCTGGTGCCTGCATGTGCGTTACATTAGCGTTTGTTTTTGAATGCGGTGTCTGGGGTAAAAACAGCATCAATTCGTCGCGCCGTGAGTTATATATGAGCAAACTGGAAAGAAAAGGAGTATTATTGAGAAGGCGTGGACGGTTATAATTACAATAATTTTGAAAACACGTAATGCACGTTAGAAATAACAACACCAACTTCACGATATAAATCCATTATTAGCAAATTGCGGTATCGAATCAGGATACAGAAGAAAGTTTGCTATCCAGGGCTTACTATTGGAAACGAGGTTGGAAATAAAGTAAGCACTGGGGACGAGGTTGGGGCAAAGGGTTTACGAATCGGAACGCAGAGAGTTGAATGGGCCTTATTCACGAGCTGGCCATTTTTGTCGTGTTCCCTGAATGTATTTCATTAATTGTTTGCTGTTGAGTGGGATGGCGCTAGACTATTTACGAATTTAAAATTACAAATTTTAAATTATTTATTGCAGCAAACTGGAAGTAATTAGGAATTCACTTGCTTTCATTTCAATTCGCAAGTTCCAAAAATTAAGATTTTACCTCACTTTTCATTCAATATGGCCGACTCATGAATAAGGCCCATTGGCAAGTTGAAAGAGCTTTTATTTTCTATTTTTTTTCTTTTTAATTGAAAAAAGTGAATTTCGATTAACAATAATTTCAATAAATTAATTTGACTCACCCACCCACATTTTCGACCAAAAATCAAAATTTAAAAACATTTTGAATGGCCCCTTATTGAAATTGAATGGAATTGAAAGGTACCCATACAGCTGGAAAGTCAGTTTACGTTGTTCAACCCCAAAGTTTTAATAAGTTAGCGTAGTCATTTTTCCCCTTGTTGTATATCACATGGTGTTTTATCAACAAACCAAAGATCTCTCATTTGCATTACCTTTGTAACTGCTCCTTACTCATCTGTGTGACCTGCAGGCTATAGATCCACTGATGGAGTACCTGGATACCAACATGATCACCTTGCATAACTGCCTCCTCAAGTCCAACTTTGACAGGTAAATCCAATAGTTATCTAAATTCCCCCTCCCTCACATTGTTGGCAAATTTGTTTGAAAGTCCTGACTGCTAATTGTCACAGCTATGCTACTATTAGTCAGGGTGATTGTAAAGTAATGGCAGAATTCTGCTAGATGCACTTCAAAAATCTGCTAAATCACCTATTATTACACAAAATACATTATAAACACTTATACTCACATGCAGATGTTATAAAATTTCCTTAAACAAAAACAAAAGTCATAAAATTTCCTTTAAAAAAAAAAAAAAATTATAAAAAAATGCATGTGTCTAGCCTGGTTTGCAATGGTCTAAAGTACTTTACTGTGTGCTAATGCACGACAGGGAACCTGAATTTGAAGCTTTTTCAAAACTATCTGGTATATTTTTCAAATCTGCCATATTTTTCTGTCAGATCACCAATTTTACAGAGTTCTGCTAGAAATCTGCTGAAAAAAAAATTCACTCTGCTGAATTTTTTGTCAAACTTGTTTTTTTCCGAAAAATTTGTGTCACATTTAGCCGAAATTCGGCCATAACGGTCACCCTGCTATTAGTAGCCAAGTAAATATGACATTTTGCCCTGCGCCCTTCTATTAAATCATTGTTGAGTTACCAAGAATCATTTGTAAGAAAAATGTTTCAAAGAAGGTACTTCTCATTTGCATGAAATTGTTTAAAAATTAATGAATTTTCCTGAATTTAATGAATGCATACAGTATGCTGAAAACAAGAGTGCTATGTACCATAGGGAAATCTTAGTTGAAATTCTGCCTTTCCTGTCCCATAATAGTTCAATTTTGACTTGTAATCACAACTTTTTCAGATAATAGAAGGTAGTTACTTGAAAAGGGTATTCAATTTAAAACAAAACAAAACATATTTTTCAGCACATTACTAAGATTTTTACATTTTCTAAAGAATATTTGAGCAAAATTTTATACTCAGCAATGTTAATTCCTAACTGGTAATTTACAAATTATATTTCAAGAAAATTTAAGTTACAATTTAAATTAAATTATTAATTTTCACAAATAGAACATTTTTAAGAGAAACCGTGAGAAAAAGAGAAAGAGTGATAAGTGAGAAACTTTCAAAAGAAAAACCAGTGTAAATTTCAAATTTAAGTGGAAGGTTAAATTGTTTGAACTCAATTGTCATTTCAGAATACTGCAAGACATTTGGATTGTCTTGGTGGATGAGTTAAGTAAGATCATCAGCAACAAGAACAAGGTCAGACCTTTTGTGACTTTCAACATTGAATATGTGTCCCTAGAAAGAAGACTAATGTTCACAGATCAAAGTTTTTTCCAATTTATGCGGAATTCCATCTTTTTCAAATTTTCTTCCAAAAGTCTGATTTTTCTTCTCAAAATCTGATTTTTAAAGTTAAATTTCATCAAGTTTGTTAAAAACAGCATATGGTGAGTGCAATATTGATCCCTTGTACCAGTTGTCAGTACATAGTTTGTTTGATAGAAACACATATGCAAGCTCTGATTGGAGTATTTTTATGGTAGGGAATTTTTTTAAGTATTTACCTATGTCATGTGTGAAACTATGTAGCTTCTAGGTTGTTGCACATGGAGATCGACTGCAGTAAAATCTACATATAATGTTATTTCTGAATGTGTCAAATTTGGTTTTACAAAGACCACTTGCCTATTTTCGGATTATTTTGTTTCATACGCCAATTAGACTAATTTGATTTTTGAATAACAAGGTTTGGCGAAGACTTCAATTTCTGGTTTAAAACTCAATACTTTGGCAAATGATTTCTGAATTACATCTGCACAGACCCCCAAATCTCAGCTCACTGGACTGTCAATTGCTGATGTAAATGGTGCATTCAAGCAGTGATTGTCAACTCACAAGGTCTATTGGTAGAGTACGTTTAGGCAGTCAGTTTATCTATTAGTATTCTGATATCTCTGATCAGTGAATTATTCTTGTTCTTGCAGGCTTTGCACGGGAAACCACTTCTGTTCTGTAGATTAAATGACACCCTTGATGTAAGTATAGGGACAACAAGTACTTTTGGTTTTATTTTTGGGAATAGTTGTTGTTCTTTGTTTTTACTTTGATTTGGAACCAAGGAGACTGCCATAGGAAATGCCTTTTCCCACTAGACAGAATATCAGGGTGAAACAAGTTACATTTCACACTTGAAATATCATCCCCGCTTCACCACCAAGAAACCCCAGAGATTGCCCTCTCCCCGGGGCGAGGTCAACCCTGCTCAGGACTAAGGTTGAGATTCTCAACCCCTGGGTGATACACTCGTCCTGGGGTGGACGTTATATAGTAGGAAACAAGCTTGCCCTGGGTCCATCATCCGAGTGTTGAAATACATCCAGGCCTGAAGTTTGATGTCATTATGGCAACAATTAATATGAAAAGTGGTATATTGTGCACTATGTGCCCTTTATTTCTGACTTTTTGACTGATGCAAATCTAAGCCAACATAACAGTCGTCCCTATATTATCTTAAAATGTATGGAGGGTTTTACTACTTTCTCTTTATTTGGACCCATAATAGTAAAATATCTCTTGCCTCATTCCCCTTTTCTCTGCATTGGAGAATCCATGCCTATGATAAAAAAAAAATGCACATGTATTGATATGCTTTCCAGAAGTAGGGAGAATATGCTTCAACGTGGTGAGGGTTAATCAGTTGAAGCAGTACACTGCAATAAAGCTAAAATATAAAAACATAACTTGTCCAATGCTAAGGGTTTTAATCACATTTATATTGTTTAAGCAAAAATATTGAGGCGAGTTTGATATTTTCAAATTAATCTGCATTTCGCAATTATAGCTCAGTTTGTTTGTACATTGCATACAAGCTAAACGAGATAAATAATGTATGTGTGAAAAAAAGTATGAAATAATGTGAGGTTGAACTCAAGGTTGAAAAAATCCAAAGCTACCCCAGGGTGGTCCTGGAGTGAGTTCACCCGGGGGTTGATGCTCTAGTATGAAAAGGCCTAAAGATGTCTAGATTGCTAAAGCAAATTACAATGTAAGATGTCACACTAATACTAGTATTAAAAACATGCAGTAAATCCTGCATGGTGTTTGGATTGGCAACTCATGTTTGACAAGCAAACCCTGCTGTCTGCTCAACAAGCTCACATTCCAAACTGCCTCATATTATGTCCATGCATGAATGCATAGCAAACAAAACAACATTCAGCCATTTTGTTATCTTTTTTCCCCTCCAGATCTTGAGTGACTTCTTCTATGCTGACACGAAGGGTTTAGCTCTGCCAACACTACACAATGCTACGTACATGGAGATGAAGAGTTACACAGAAAGCAATATGGCTGACACGCATGAGCTCATTGAGGCATTTTACGGCCAGAAACTTCAAGAAGTTGTGAGTCGCTGTGTTTGTATAGTCAGCTTTGCAGTACTTGTACTCTTTTTTTGCTTTTTGTTAAACTCTTCCCAATACCCATTACCTTTTCATATGAACTCTGCCCATCCAAATGCCAATAGGCCACTCAAATGTGATGTTAGCATAAGAAATTCATTTACATTTATATTGAATGGTGACATGTTATTTAGGTAGACCAAAAATATATCACAGATTCGTCTGTCTGATCTGGCTCATCAAGCTGGCGTTTAGCGTTAGTTTGCTTGTTGTGTAATGACAGAGAATATGTATAGTGTCCCTGAATGGGATGCCAGTGCATCACAGGTTACTCCCCAGCTAATACCCGTACCCATTTATGGGGTGGAAAAGGGGTAAGTGTAGAGAAGTGACTTGCCAAAGGAGAGAACAGACATCCAGTGGCTGGGTGTGAACCCCTGTAACTCTGACCATGAGTCACAAATCCCAGCACTACATGCACTAGGCCAGGTCACACTACCCATAAAGGATAGAGGCCCAACATTCAAAGCTCCAAAATATATATGAAAATCAAGAGCATCTTCACAGTTGTGGCCTTTTTGTCAGTAGATGTACTGTACATGTGTGGTCTATTTTTGACAGCTGCAGTATGTGGGACACGTGTGTACATGCACCTATTTGTTAGTGTAGTTTACAAACCACATATTACTTGTTTTCATGTGACTGTGCACAAACCCCTTCCATCTTCATGTTGGTGCACAGTGTCATTGCATCGAAATGTCTGTCATGATCACTTTCCTTGTTTTCACTGCAGGAAGAGATAATTGAGAGTAACAAAGAGAGTCTACTTGGTACACTGACCGTTAAATGCTACTACAACGATGTCACAAACCATCTGTGCATCATGCTAGTCAATGCTAAGAATATCACGCCTAAGGATAGATCAGGTACAAACTCATCAATATGAGATCTGTGCATGGACAGCTGTGTTGTCTATTAACAGAGCAGCTAGGGCGTTGTCATGGCTCTGCTAACACAATGCTGTGTTTACAATCATCATTCTGTGCTTGCAGAATTTGAAAGAAATTCTACGCTGGCCAAGTGGGTCATGCAATAAATTTAGGATCCAAAGCATAACATTTTTCCTGTCGCTGTTACCTTGGTACTTTGTAATTTGCCATTCAAGTATCATCAAGAATGACTTCAAATGATGTTTTATTTGTTAGGTAGGCAGTTTGCTGTTCAAAATATCTCTTGGAGGATGGATGCATGAAGGAGTGCATCAGAATTATAAAATCATAGATGTCACATGTAACAGGGAAAGGGAAAAATGTGGACCCAAACATTTATAGACAGAGCCAGCTGGCAGAGAATCCTTAGGTACGGAATGTACCCATGTGCACAAGTTGAAATTCTTTGTGCAGAATATTCGGCCATGAAGTTCTATCTGACCAAGCACAGGAGATCTAGTGTGCAAGATTTACCATGTGTAGACACTGTTTCACTTGCATATGGCATTGAACACACATGACTATTTTCAACTTCATGTACACATACCTAGGCCTGTTGCGTCATGAACATAACATTCATGTACATGCAACATTTTCCAACACTTAGCGGTGTCTAGAGCGATATACTCAAACACAGCCAAGAGTGCTCAAACTGTACTCAATTTTTTTTTCCAAGTAAAATCACAAAAACACCTCAGTAAAATGTAATGTCTCTGGGTAATTAATGTCTTTTTATTATGAATCCTCAGTTATGTTTTCTATTTTTTTTTTCTTCCATTTTCCAGGCATGAGTGACCCATATGTCATCCTAGAGCTGCAACCATCATTTGTGTTCCCCAAAAGCTCACCAAGAAAGAGCAAAATTGTCAAGGAAACAGTCCATCCTCTCTTTGATGAAACATTTGAATTGTAAGTTGAATGTTTAATGTTAACATCTTTCTTTCCCCTTTTTTATGAAAATTCTAAAATGTGATACAGTGTTCAAGAAATCTAAGCCAAAATTTGTGAAATTGAAATGGGACAGTTTTTGATGCCAGATTGATTTGTGCCTTGATAGACCTTGTAGAAACACCTATGGATTTTGTGTTGACTTTGTGCTCAACAACGGATGATCCTTTGTGTAAAACTGCCATACGCATGGGTCCATGGCATGGGCTTGTTAGAAAGACTTCAGAAAGGTCTTGCTAGGATCAAAGCATTTTGCTACATGAAGGATCAAAACAACAGACCCAATAGTCACAATTTGTATACACTTTTTGTGTGTGTCATTTTCATGATGATCTGGAGCATTGTCTCAATCTTTATTATCCGCAGCCCTGTCACCAAAGACCAGTGTAAGAACCGAGGTGCCTGCCTCCATTTGATCATGTATGACCATGACGTCATCGGTTCAGATGACTTGGAGGGAGAGACATTTCTATCCCTGCAGGACATTCCAGGAGTCAAGCAGGCATTTGAAAGCAGTTATGCTGCTGTGAAAGCTGTACCACTACCACTAAGGCTACCAGAAAAGAACAGTAAGTTCAACAGTCAGTTTTCCAAGTTTTTATTTTAGCAATAAGTTACACTTGATTTGTTTTGTATGTCAAAAATCAAATTTTATATCTATCTTGCCTTTTACAGAAGTCTGCAAGGTTTTAATCGTCAGCCCCCCAAACATGCTGAACTTTTGTGATTTTAATTGTCAGTTGATTAAAGAAAATTGACTGAGTTTGCAGCATTATTAATGTTGCCACTCAGCAAGAATTGGTTACAAAAATAATAGCATCCTAGAAGTTTGCCAATTATTGAGTTAGAGAAGTCACTTGGTAAAGGTTGTTGTATCACTAAATAATCCCTTGTGGAATTCAAGAGGTATACACGCAAAACTGTTTCACACAAGTTTAATCTTAAAATATTTTGTGAATATTGCAAAAGACTAATTTAGAAACAAGAAATTAAGTTTAAATGTATCATTGAATCAACCCTTTTGTGAAACCTTTGATGTAGAGAGATACATCTAGGTAGCTCAGTTGTTTGAACCCATTGTTTCCAGATTCAGATTGATTATCTAAATCTCCATTACTGTCGCATTTTCCCCCCACAGACAACACTCCATTCCTCCTGAGCACATTGAAGCAGCGCCCAACAGACCGGGTAGCCCAGGAATTTGCCAAGAAGCGAGCACAGCTCCTCAAGAGAGCCAAGGTAGCTCCTTGATGTAGACACATCTAGATCTGCAGCTTGGACATTGGAAGCAATGACCACCTGTCCATTGGTAGTCACATTGACAAGCTGTGGCTGTTGGTTTACTCCTGCCATATGTCCTTATTGTAGTCAACATGTAAGACAGGTTGACAGTTTAGTCTCCCTGTCTACATCTGACCACAGAGCAATGACATTATGTTGTTTGCTATTATGACGTGACTACCTACGGTATTCATGAGGGTCAGCAATCCTTCTATGTGTTCAAAGTCGCCAACCTGTGAGCTATGGACAAAGTCTCTAGATTGATGTGTGCTGTTATGTTCATGCCTTTTCAGAGTTGCCATATTTTTAAATGATTCCCTGATATTGCCGTGGGATTTGTTAAAGAGGTGCCTGCAGAATTAGTTATTTAACTATTGTGTTGGTCAAGACTTAAGATGTGGAGCTAACAGAGCTTAAACAATATCAATCACTTTCGGAATACTTCTTAATTAATTTAAGACACTCTAAGAGAAAAATAAAAAATAAAAAAAGCACTCCAGAGTGCCAATGGAAAACAGTTCTTTGAGAATGAAGTTGGCTTCTGTGGTCAAATGAAAAATAAATAATAAATTGCTCTAAATAAGTGTAAGAGCTTCTATACCTTTTGAGCTGATCATTGATATCATTGGAAAGGTGGGATGGCATTTCCTGTTACTATTGCAAGGTGCATTGCTATTGCAAGGTGCATTGCTATTGCAAGGCAGCGTCCTTGCAAATATGAACCTCAGAGAACATGGGCTTGGGTTCTCAAACCACCAGCCCATTAATATAACAAAACTATTCATTAAATTTGTACAAAATAGTGATATAACTTGCATTTATGTGGATTTACAGTGCTCATTTTGTTACTGGGGCAGAAGCCTCATGCTATAATCAGTTTCATAATCAGTTTGACTTCACACATCTCTGTTTATATTTACATTTTGATACAAAGTTATACACACAATGAATTCAAACAGTTTAGGTGGCAATAAACTGAACCAAGGCTGCAGTATGCATGCACACACCAAGTGCCTTCTGGACCAAAGGCCCAATCGAGTATTGACATTATGGTAAATCACACATGAACCTGTCTGCGGTGGAGGTCAGAGAATTTTTAAAAAGAAATAGCCAAGTTAGGCATTCCTACTGCAAGCTTTGACAGTTTACACATTGGGATGAACACAGTAGATTTAATGTCCACAAGACTGGGGTGGGGGTGGGGGGAGGGGGTATTTTGGTAACGGAATACATGTATGCAGTTCTTTATGCAGTAAAAAAAAAAGAAAATGGCTATTTATTTGCACATAAAATGGAGCATCAAAATTACAGTATATCATTGTGCCGTTCAAACTTTTCGCCGTTATTTAAGAAGAAAGATTTCTTTAATTTTGTTGCTACTTAATTATTTTACATGAACATGGAGGAGTGTTTAGAATGGTCCAATCTTGGTGTTTAGGCATATGATTGACTCCACGCATTAACAGGTGCCTGGCCTTGGTATGTATGAGCAGAAGCCACTGCGCTCACACGGATTCTCCTGGCTAGGGCTCAAAGTACACACTTATATTTTATTCTGAACATGCACAACCCTATGTTATTCTCGCCTGAACGCAAGGTGTACGGCAGCGATGCATTGAAGACTACACTTGACTTTCTCTTCGTAACCATTGAGAAGTGCTTGTACACCGATTCCCAAGGAGAGGTATTGTTTAAGAGGTCAAATGTACCTATCTACTATCTTTCTGACAGGGTTTAAACTGATACGTGAGCAGAATGGTATCTGGCCAATATATTTCCTTTATTTAATCATACCTTGTACTTCATATATTGTTTTCTTATTTGTACCACATAATTTCGAAGTGAAGCAGAAAACGAGATTTTTAATGGAAGCATTTCAAATTCACAGTGTATGAATTTTCCAATGTATATAATCATATAAGCAGCTATTTACGGCAAAGTTAATGTAGCATATACTTTGAGCAAACAGGTTTCCATACAGAGAAGGATTTATAACTAATTTGTATATTTCCCCAAAACTTCTGAAGCTGGTATATTTAATTGGTAGTACCCTGTGGAGTGTGTCATTTAACGATAAGATTTTAAGTTGGTATAGTTTCATCTTGTTTGAGATCTGATGTTTGAAAACGGATCACCATTTCAGCTAGCCTAACATTGATAACACTGTATAGTGTAAAGGTATGGTGGTCTAGTTTAAAGAAGGGAAAATTTAGCAGACGGTAATAACAATGGAAAGACAAAGCCTTTATTTCTTTCAATATTCCAGCATTTTCAAAAGTACTTCGGGAATAATGGTTACCGCATTTCTGGGCTAGCCATTCATAACGTTAATATATTTTTCTTGTTAAACTAGTAAAGATGCACTGTGGAGGATTTATACCTATAACAAAAGGTATGGCCTCTAAATATTTGGTGGGCAGGGTCCTACATAAAACAAAATCGTTATCAGTTTGCCTGATTTTGTTCAAATGATGTGGGGTTACCCTTCTGCAATTTCTGAATTTGGAACCTTCCCAGAAAAGTTTGGAGGATTCACTTCAGAAAGTGTTAAGTATTTACGGACAGCGAATGTGTTGGTGCATTTCGTTGATTAGAATGGATAAAATGAGCCAAGGGAAACAATTTATACGACTGTATATATGATTATTTAGGACTGTAAAATGCTCAAAGCCAAGAGTTAATCAGAAGGATACATTTTCTTTATCAAATAAACTGTATTTAACTGAATGTGGATTGGGAGCAATAAAAGCATTGATTGTTTGTAATTCATTGTTTTTCAGTCTGTCCATTCCTTACGTTCAATGAACGAAATGTCAGATCCCCTTTTACAAAAAAATTAGTGTTTGTGAATAAAGGGCAATATTGACAGCGCTTTCATACGTTTCAAAAGACTTGTTGAAAATGTTCTCCCCATAATAAAGAACGTCCATTGAGTGCCCTCACATTAGCCAGATATGGTAATGAACACCATTTGCAAAACAAAATTGCCGAATGAAGGAATTTATAATAAATCTGAAGCAGGTTATTAAAAAAGTAACCTGTCGCACTTTCAGCTCATACATTAGATTCGAATGTATGAGCTGAAAGTGCGACAGGTTACTTTTTTAATAACCTGCTTCAGATTTATAGGTTTTCCCGGCTATTTTAAAACATTTTCCCTTCGAATTCACCGATTCTTATATTCAATTTCGTCCAGCAACACCGATTTAGTGCATTTTCAATGTTTAATTTCGTCTTTTGTCAGATGATATTAAATTTAGTTCAAACAATGAGCACACGTTTTCGACCCGGTGATTTTGATTTCGTCTCGTCTACGCCGAATCGTGTTATTCAGAAATCAAATTCGTCTAATTGATTTATATTAGACGAAATTGATCTCTGAATGCTGCCTTTCGGCAACAGCTTAGACGAATTTGATCTGTAATGACGAATATTCTCGACCCGGTGACTAAAAAGGGTGACCAAACTTTGAAATTGAAAGGTAAATTACTAAATTGGTTTTGTTAAAAGCATGTGATTTTTTTTCGGACGAAATTGAATGTTAGAGTTGGTGAATCGGAATGGAAAATGTTTTAAAATAGCCGGGAAAACCTATATTATAAATTCCTTCAATCGGCAATTTTGCATAACGTTCCATCCTCTTGGTTCAACCCCAGTTTGTCACTCTAGAGAATACGTTTATTCACGGATAGGCCTAAGTAACCCATTGCCTGAACTTAATTTGGTCAATTTCGGGCAGTATTGGGGGGGGGGGGGTTCTCCAGATTTGGCTCTAACCATCGCGAGGAAATGATGGACAATTCCTCTCGAAAATGTCAGCACATCAGGCGCAATGATTTCACAGGATACTTGATCCTATTATTACTTACATTAAGTTGGATATTTTATGATATTGTAACGGGCGTGAAATTACTAGTTCAAGTACTAAACGACTAGAGACTAGACAAGAATTCTGACTGGAGAGATCGTGTTGTTCTTCAAATAATAACGGTTTTATTGTCTTCCATGAGGCGGAGCGCCAATGTGCATTGCAATCGAACGTTGAGTAACCGAGACAACATGTAGTATCACATTTCATATTAATATGAACAAATTGGGAAGGAAATGAGTATTTTCGAGAAGGCGTGGACGAATAATCGCGAAAACACGTACTGCACGTTGTGAATAACACCACCAAGTACACGACAAAAATCCATTACTAGCCAATTGCCGTATCGAATCAGGATGCTAGGAAGAAAGTTTCCTATCCAGGGTTTACTATTGGAAACTAGGTTGGAAATAAAGTAAGCACTGGGGACGAGGTTGTTTTCAGGGTGATTAGTTAAACTACAACAAACCACATGGGCCAAAAGGAACTTACGTTTACAGTCGGCGCACACTTCATTTTTTTGAAGGGGATTTACAATTATTCGTAACAGTTTTAACTTCCATAATTACTTAAATATTACTCCTTTTATTCAAAGACAGTTGCAAATGTACTAATATTATCTACAATGTTATACTCTTTTTTACTGTAATTTTTAAAATAGGACTGCCAAATCATGTGTCTTCGTAAGCCAGATGGGCTACTATTGGCCCTCGCTATGGAAACGTTATGCATATGCATTGCAGTGGCTGCATATATGAATATTCGCTTGAAAACGTCTTAGTCAAGTCGTTAGACACAGACTGACCATGCCGCGCGGTAGTACATGTACATGACTTTTGCATGAATGGTTGTAGCGCTCACGTTGCACGAACGGCGGTGGTATGCGGATTTTGGCGCTGATCGGTGACGGACATAAACCACTATAGTCTAACGACTTGTCATCAAGTCTACAATAATCATAGCGTCTTGGCCTAGAAAGCGTGGATGAATTAAACTTGTATAAGTCATTTCATTTAACAGTATATTCTACCATTAGTTTATGCCCTATTATCAATACGTGGTCAACTGTACTGGCATTAATTCTTCTCATTGAAATACGAGTTATTAACTTTAAACATATTTCTGAAAGGAACCTGTATTTTATCAGAGTAAAGAATAAAGTGTGATAACTGGAAATAAATCATGACTTGCATTTTCGTTAGAATATTTTGGAATGTTTGCAAATGGTGTCCATTACCTTTAAGGATGAGTTTGTGGGTGGTTTTGATTTTGATTTTTTTTTTTTAATTTGCAGTCACGTGGTTGCTAAGGGCGATTTCTAAAGGTTACGTAACACTTCATTTTGAATGAAACTACACATGTTCAAGTTGGCAGGCGAAATCTTTGAAAATTTATTTCTCCCGTTTGGAAGACCGTATCTTCATGCAACTTTCAGGGTTTACTTCCCTCATAATGATCCAAGTATGTGCTAACAATCGTTGTGATGTGTTCATTACTTTTCGTTAAAATCGGAAAAATAGGCTTGGCTACGTACACTTTTGAAAGTTGGTAGACTAGCGTTTGCAATATCTGTCAATCTTTTCAAGACTCACAAATATTAATAAGGTTCCTATGCATTATGGTATATGCAGTATAAATTTGGAGAAAAGCCTCCTTCACGAGTTATTAATTGATAAATATCACCCTTTTTGCCGACTTCTATTGGTCGATACCGGGACCCGCGCCAAGACACGCCGAGTGACGCTAATGAATATGCCAATCTACCATACTCGGTCAACAGGTATAGCGCCTACGGTGCTTTGCTGAACATACAATGCACATTTTGGCGTTGTGTCACCAGAAAATCCACGTCGAAATTTCCACGGAGATGGTTCTTGATGGTATATTAGTGTTTGCAACAACAGATTAAGCTGAAATTCGGAATATTCTTAGATGATATAAATGTTGAACTACTCGTGAAATAACAACTTGGAGAGATTCCTAGAAATTGAGGTTAAAACATGCATTTGGGGAAGTTTTCGAAAGATTTCTTCCAGACTTGAAGGTCAGCTTTACCAGTAACCAGTATTGACGTTTCGGCATCGATGACCGAGATACATGAAGTTTAGAATGTCGTCTTCTGTTAGAATTTATTATTTCAATCATACAGAGCATATTTTCTGAGAAACACAACAAAGGCCATGTTCTTTGGGGTGCATGGATTTCACTGCTCTATTATAGCGTCTAAGTACGTAATCGGATTAGCTTTGCCTAACAACGCCAAAAGCTTTGCCCTAGCAACCACATGACTGTTTGACGCAATCATTAAGACTCGGTCATTATGACATCATGAAATTTACGGAGTTTGCATGACGACATGCGCACAGTTAGCGCGCTCAGCAAAAAGCACAGTGTGCGTGTAACTGCAAAAGCCCATGGAAACAGAACATTTGAAAACACGACGCGGTAATGAAGACCCTGTGCATCGCCATATCGTAGCAGGCGCTAGGTACGGGGAGTGCTGCGTGAATCACATCGGGGGGTGCTTGTTCACTTCACTCATTCTTTTGAATCAGTAGGCAATCCCATTTTCTTCGGCTTGCTTTAAAGTTTTCAGGGATCATTTAAGGATGGGAAACGAGAGAATCTTCTACACCGACGAATCTCTTCATCTGAAGAGGAAGGGGGAAGGAGTATGGATGCCGGAGAAGGGAAGGCCCGTCTGGGATTCTCTGCATCTCGATCTGGTGGATGAAGGCACCATCGAAGAAGGACCTTTCTCGCAAGTAGGGATGATGAGCTGTTTTATAAAATTGTAAAATTATCGTATGCATTCATATGACACGAGGAAGACCATTACCATGGGAGGATGCCAAAGCCAAAGGCAACTTTGAATGCTGCGAACTAATAATAGTTCAGTTTCATTTCAGATATAGGCCTTATATCGAAAATGTTGCAAAGGTGTATGACTAGGGTGTTTAAAGGTATATTCCATCATTTGTAATTGTGCTTTTTATTCGTTTGAAACTACAAAGGTGCTCAAGATCTAAAGAAGGGTACTGAACAACTGACCTGATGAAGTTTCAGCTCAGCTTCAGCTGTATATTTAGAGAAAAACAACATTCTAGGATCTCGATTTCAAATCAGAAGTTGCTGAATCATGTTTTGAATTGGACCTGAATTCAGCGTCCGAGACACGTTCTCACTGAGCCGATTGCAGCTACCAGTCAGTGGCCGTGTCACGCACACAGCCCGATTTGACCTAAGTTTCTTACGCGCGCATGGCCCAAAAGCGTACGCGAGATTTTACGAGATGTATTTGAGACTACAGAAAAACACAAAAAGTACCTGGAAACATGCACTGTTTGGCCAAGATGGCTAAATAACTGAAAAGTTGAAATCATGTGCTTTATTTTGATACCAAAAATAACTGCTTTGGACATTAACATTTGGAAAAAACCCGGAAATTTCATGGCATATTTTTTAGTCAATTTGTCCGTGAAATAATAACGTCAAAATTCATCGAAATATTGTTTTTTGAGAAAAAAATACCTCGATAGATGTATTTAGTAGGTCTTTAACTACCTGAGACAGCTTTGTTTGTTTTGGATCGGTTGTGGTTTGCCATGAAAATTGCGAATTTTCTGAAGCCCTTACGGCCATCGTTCGCTGGCCTCGCATTGCTGTCAGTTGTGTGGACGAGAAAATAGAGCAGCTACGCGTGACACGGCAACTGACTGCTACGCGATGTCGCGCATAGCCTTTCACCAAGGCCATCGTGATTTAACTGGCCCGCATTCAAAGCGGCGAAATCGCGAAGCGACTGGAGATGGAGACCACACACGCGAGTGGCGAAGCCACGAGGGCCTTTTCTAACTTGTCGAGAAATTTTTATGTTTTTCTTTAAAAGGCTGCATCCGAATCTGTTGTCTAGAGCTATGTCTAGGTCTTCGCTCCATTAGAAATACGCGGAGACGCGCTGACAATAGACGTAGCCGTAGCTCTGGAAGCCCGTTTCGGACAAGGCCTAAGCTCGATTTTTGCTACCCTTTTGGGGTAGCAAAATTCCAACCAATCATCAGCCTTTTAGTGCGTGCGTGGCTACTACCCAGACGCGTCGACGCGCCCGGATGCTTGCACAAAATTTAAAAACAAAAAATGCGAGTCTAATTTTCCACGAGATCGTGACCGCGTAATTGTTCTTACATTATCTTATTTTAATTTTACTTATAAAAGTATTTCAAGAAATTATTTGAGTGTATGAACTTATTTTTCATCTGAACTTACAGTTATTTGCTCTTACGATTTCCTTACTCACCCTTCTTTTAAAAATAGAAGCGACTAGGCCAAATCCGCGTTGTGATTGGTTAACCTTCAGCACTCTTCTTATTTGCATAAAAATATGAATAATTCAACAAAATGAAGTTGGGAAAGGCCTCGTGGCTTTGCCACTCGTGCGTGCTGACTTAATCTTTGCTCCAGTCGCTTCGGGTCTTCGCAACTCCGCCGCTCTAAGCCACGATGGCCTGGGCGAAAGGCTATGTCGCGCACTGATCCGACGAATTATAGCAACCGCACGCGCGTGTGCGTCGTGCAAATGCTGGCGCGCGCTTCGCCGAAAAACAAAACGAACTACTAACTTGAGTTTCTTACGGTGCGTCTTTCGGAAGCACTGTTGGAAAGGCCTTCTTTTGTTGATTTCTTCAAAATGACAGCTTGCCAGAGTTTAGTTCCCTTACTATCTTTCAACCAAGAATGTTTTTCAACAATAATGACGCCAGTTACTTTTCGGATAGCTGCAAATGATGGACTCTGGCTTTAAGTCCAGGATTGTTCCAGGGAGACGGAGGGGGTGAGGCGTTGTAGCCCTTGCATAAAAACAAAGGCCCGTGAGCAATGAATCAAGATTTACAATGTTATAAGTAGATGACGTTATTTAAGAGAACTTAAGAAAATGGAGATTATTATTTCAAGTATGTAAATAAAACACCAATCGCAGTCGGAAGAAGGGGGGATAGGGCGGGAGGGCAGCCAACCAACACACCTTTAGATCCCGCCTTGGAAACGTATTCCTAAGTTTTAGTAAGGTTAAAAGGTGCTGCAGTTGGCACCCATCTGCCAGGAGTTGATGTTGATGCGACATTTCCGTCTCCGAGTTGAACATGCGCCCCCAATGATTAATTGTGCACTGCAAATTCAGTTTACAGTTTGAATTTGATTTAAACCTTGGAAAGCAAAAATTGTTTTATGAATTTGACGTTCTACAAAGGTGCTCATTTAGTAGTTTGCCCTTTCCTTTTTTTCGCAGCGGCAGGGTGACATGAACAAAAAAAACATACCATGCTAACTTCCAGCACGGAGGACCTGTTGGCAAATTCTATGTTGTCAAACCGCACCCATTCAAATCAATTGTTATGGCGACATGCCTAGATTACGAAAGCCCATTAGCGCCACTGCAAGTATATATGTTACAGATTGTGTAATTCGTTATTACGGATTATTAATTCGTTATTACGGATTACTAATTCGTTATAACGTATTATTTAATTCGTTATTACGGATTATTAATTCGTTATTACGGATTACTAATTCGTTATAACGGATTATTTAATTCGTTATTACGGATTATTTAATTCGTTATTACGGATTACTAATTCGTTATAACGGATTATTTAATTCGTTATTACGGATTATTAATTCGTTATTACGGATTATTTAATTCGTTATTACGGATTATTTAATTCGTTATTACGGATTATTTAATTCGTTATTACGGATTATTAATTCGTTATTACGGATTACTAATTCGTTATAACGGATTATTTAATTCGTTATTACGGATTATTTAATTCGTTATTACGGATTACTAATTCGTTATAACGGATTATTTAATTCGTTATTACGGATTATTAATTCGTTATTACGGATTATTTAATTCGTTATTACGGATTATTTAATTCGTTATTACGGATTATTTAATTCGTTATTACGGATTATTAATTCGTTATTACGAATTAGGTCTGATGTTCTCACACGTGGAGAGCACGTGACCAGGGGCCTGTGTATATAGGGCCGCTATGCACTCCTGTGCCATACTTGCCGAGTATGACTCAGAACGTATGAGTAATTCGTAATAACGAATTAATAATCCGTAATAACGAATTAAATAATCCGTAATAACGAATTAGTAATCCGTTATAACGAATTAGTAATCCGTAATAACGAATTAATAATCCGTAATAACGAATTAAATAATCCGTAATAACGAATTAGTAATCCGTATTATACAACACCTGAATAAATCCCCGTCATCTGATTGGTGAATTGTAGATCATGTGACATATTATTATTCGTGAAAAAAAGTAAAACTGCTGCAAACTGCTTACTGACTGGATGGACCTGAAATATATAAATCTTAAAATTAATGTGGCCTGACGTTGCGAACTTAGCAAGTTCTTCAGAGGCTAAAACAGAAATGACAGAGATACATACATTAACATGGGGGTGCACACAAACATGCAGGGCTGAAAGAAGAAACACAAAAGGAGGATTAGGAGGGAAAGGCGTGGAAAGATGCAGGGGAGGGTGGATGAGAGAACAAAGAAACAAAGGGAGATGGCAAACCACAAGGGGTCTGGTGTAAACAGGGGAGGGACCAGAAAGGGGAAGGATCAAAGGTCACAGGGAGTGGGAACGGACAAAAGAGTGTGAGAGTGAAGGGATGATGCGGGGGGGGGGGGGGGAACAGTATTAAGGTGGAAAGGGATGAAAGATGGCGGGAGATGTGTAAACACAAACAAGGAAGACCAGATGGATTATCTGTAACAGAGGACAATGGAGGAAGAAAAGGATTAATCATTTCCAAGTTGGATGTTGAGACCATGTGGTTGAATAGTTCGAAGACGATCATCCACACCTTCTCTCTGCTGAGGCGAACTGACTCTTTGCGATGGCCAAGAGATTCAATGCCCTGCAAAATCATATCAGAAATGGAGTGGTTAGGCAGGTTGAAGTGATGACCAACAGGGGTGTCTAGTTTCTTGGTGTTGACCGTTGACCGATGGGCATAGAAACGCTTCTTGAGCGTATTCTTAGTCTCACCTACATACTGCACTCCACAGACCCTGCAAGAAATGAGATATATGACATTAGAGGTGTTACAAGTGATGTTACCAATGGTTCTGTGGGTAGTGACAGAAGAGTGGCCAGAAAAGGAGTCAGACTCCTGGATATGAATCTGGCAGACAACACATCTGGAACTGCACTTGAAAGTACCATGCTGGGTGGGAGGGGATGCATCTAAGGAAGGGACTTCAGCTCGAACAATCAAGTCCCGTAGATTTCGAGGACGCCTGTAAGCCAATGTGGGGCCGTTGGGGATGGCGCGGGCAAGGCGATCTGAAGTATGGAGGATATGATGATTGTCATTAGTGATTTTGCGGAGGGGAGGGAGATTGGGGTGAAACGTGGTAACCAAGGGAATCATGGGTTTGGCCATGGCATCAGGGGCCTTTCCCGTGAGAGCTAGATTTCTGGGGATAGCTTTAGCTCTGGCAATGGCACGATGAACTTGGCGAGAGCTGTGACCCCTGGCCACCAAGTTGTTCTTCAGTATCTGTGTATGGCGGGAGAAATCGGAATCATTAGAACAAATTCTTCTGAGTCTGAGTGCCTGGCTAAACGCTATGCCAGTTTTGCAGTGCCTGGGGTGACAGCTGGAGGAGTGGAGGTACTGGTGGGTGTCTGTGGGTTTGGAATACAGGTCAGTTATTATTATTCGTTATTATTATTCGGTATAATGCACGGTGCGACCATGCGTTATACCCATGCGTTATACCGTTTCACTTTGCGCTTGTTCCATGACGCGGTATTTGCGTGCAAAATGCAAGCAAATTGTAGTTTATAATTTACCAATCAAATTACGAGAATTTATTCAGGTGTTGTATAAAACAAATAACGAATGTTTTACGTTCGTGCGATGGAAAGAATAATTTAATTCGGTGACAGATTGAATGTTCTATTCCACTCGGCTTCGCCTCGTGGAATAGAACATTCAATCTGTCACCTCATGAAATTATTCTTACCATCGCACTCACAAACATTCGTTATTTGTATAATAACGAATTAAATAATCCGTTATAACGAATTAGTAATCCGTAATAACGAATTAGATAATCCGTAATAACGAATTAATAATCCGTTATAACGAATTAGTAATCCGTAATAACGAATTAATAATCCGTAATAACGAAATAATATATATGCTGTAGGATCACGAACGGGAAGCGTTAATACGTTATGCGCCTATGTCTTAGTGAAAAGCTTATTATGAAATTTTAAGTCATATTTCTCTGCTTACTTTCTCCGTAAAAACGGAGGGACAAATACAAACGGGCTGAGCTGCAAGATTTTCAGACCATGCCCCATGTTCAAAAGACTTTTAACAAAGAATCATGTTTCATGTACAGGTTAGGAAGGTGTACTCTCGGAAGCTCAATAGGTACTTTGCCTTCAAGAAAATCTCCAAGTTACGAGCTCCCAAAGAAGCCGTGGACAAGTTTCTGCCCAGGGAGATCACCATCATGCAACAACTTGCCCATGAAAGACTGGTAAGAATTGGGTCAGGGAAGAGGCCGGCGAAAGTAGAGGGCAATCAAGGTGGTTCCGACCCCCTCTTTTAGTTTCGAGTAGTTTTGACCCCCCCCCCCCCAAGAAAAAAATAAAGGGAAGAGGGGAGTTTTGCGCGTGTCACATGAAAATCAGACTCCTATGAAAATCGGACCCCTATTTCCCTATTATTGGTTAATCCCTCGCACGTGACAGGTCACTCTCCGGACGATCCTAAAAATAGCATAGTATCGTACTCACGCGTGCGCAGTACTACCAATGAGTCCACATTTCACGGAGTCGGATATTCACGCTACACCGGCATCTTAATATAGTGGCCCCTCCTTTCTGGGGGGGGGGGGGGGGCAACGGATTTTAAGGGATTCTGTTTGCCAAGCCCCCGTATAGAATCATTACTTACCCATGGATGACAGTTAACCAAATCTTTTTCCAGTTTATTTTTTACCCAAAAGATTTCCTACCTTGATCTAGAAAGGAATCTTGAAAAGAGGTTGTACCGTGGGTTTATACACGTGCAAACAATAGGCCTAACTGTTTCTCAGATTGTTTCAGTTTGTGCATGACCTTTAATTTAACTTTGGTATCAACAAATTCCTCCCCCAACATCTCATGAATAGTTGTGATTCAATTTTAAGTAAAGTATAATTCTTACAGACCTGATTTCAGTGAATCTTCTGACTGTAAGTGAACCAATTTTTTTTCCTCAAATTGTCAGAAACGTTTCCCATGTAAAAAGAAGAAGAAGAAGAAAATTGAAAACCACCCAAATCAATGAAACAAGAAACGGGGGAGGTAGAACAGAGAGCTCAATGAGTTTATGAGAGCAGCAGATGCTCCTTTTACCTAACCCCCCCCCCCCCCCACCTTTGAATAGACCTCAGCCTTTGAAATGAATCTGGGCCGTAAATATTTGTTTTCCTGTTGTAGGTTGAAATGGAGGCAGTTTTAGTCACAGAGCATTACACCTTCATTCTTATGGAATACATCCCTCACGGAGACTTGACTAAATATATCAACAGAAGAGGTTGGTTGTCTGAAAAAAATCGATTTAAACTATTTTTAATTGATATCAACTTCATGAGATGAGTACAAACTATGCCACTGTATTTAATAATCCTCAACATTGTCACATTCCATACAAAGAATTTTCAAATAGGAATGAATCTCTAAACAAATTCATGGAGTTCAAAATGAACATGGAGTGAAAAAGCATATTAAACTGAAAAATAACTTAATAGCTAGAATTACTTGTTGTAAACAACATAAAGAAATTATGAGTTTATTAACATTTCAATTTGTATGGCAGTGTGGCACACTCATAGCAAATGTTCTGATAAGTTGAGTGATATTTTCCCCCGCAGGTCATCTGTGCGAGGAAGAAGCTCGTATGTTGTTTCATCAACTCTTGGATGCAGTCAGCTATCTTCATGCATTGGATGTGGTGCACAGGGATATCAAATGTGATAACATCATGCTAGATGAACAGTACAACATCAAACTTGGCGGTTAGTTCAATATTTAATAACAGAGACACACTAATGTATAATTCAAGTTATAATAAAGTCAGAGTTGAGTTAAGACGTTTAGCTTTGTCTATTTAGCATCCCATTTCCTGCCCAATTCAGTGTAGATAATGCCTGTTTTTGAGTGATTTTTAAAAGGAAAACAAACATTAATTAGTAGGACAAAAAGCAGCTTGCACAGCCAATGTATTGGCAACCTTTTTCTGCAGTGGAAAAATAAAGGTATGAGCCATCTTGGGAAAACAGGGTACTTATTTTGATGTATCTTCATTTTTATCAATATTGTCTCACAAGATGTCCATCTCACAACTATTCAAATTTCCCACTTAATAGCTAATTGTTTTTTTATTATGTAAATTTTCATTTGTAATTTTGGATGTAACAGACTTTGGCTTTGCTGCAATGTGTGAAGCAGGGCAAAAACTCAGTGAGTTTTGTGGTTCCTACGCCTACACTGCCCCAGAAATCCTTGCTGGGAAAGAATACGATGGCAAGAAAGCTGACGTCTGGAGCATAGGTAAGATTTCAAAAATAAATGCATTTGTCTCAATTTACACCTTCATATTGATGTAGGTTAAGTTTGCTTTGTTTGAACAAAGTTTTTCCAAGACAGAATACACTGAAACTGCTTTCCAATGGGAATGATCTAAAATGCATTAATGTTAGAAGTAGCAGGGCCGGCCTGACCTAAGGTTTATGTTCATGCATGAGGGTTTTGTTTTGCTTTGGTGTCTTGTTTTTAGGGGGGGAGTTTGTTTTGTGTGTGTGTTTTTGTTTGTTTGTGTTGTGTTTTTTTTTTTTGGGGGGGGGGAGATAGCAATCTGCAAGAACAAGTTTTGCCCACTCTCAAACTTCCATCATCTATGCATATATCCACAGGGGTAGTACTCTATGCAATGTTGTGTGGTCGTCTGCCATATCAAGATGAATCTTTGGACATCCTGATCGACAACATCTACAATCCTCAAGGCAAACTGCTCTTCCACAAGAAAGTATCCAAAGGTAGGAGGCACATTGACACAAATGAAATGACTTTGTTGTCTTCTTTGACTTGATGATGGTGCTTCTGAAAACATTTCTCACGTTGATGATTTATTTTCACTCTTTCGAATTCCGGTCAATATCAGACTGCAGAGACTTTGTGCGTAGCATGCTGATCACAGACCCCAAAGCACGAGTGAGTGTCAGTAAGCTGAAGCGAATGGACTGGTTGAACAAGCCCATCGACATGTCCACGGCGGATTATAAGACCCCACAATCATCATTTGAATCAGTCGGTGAGTTTCTGAAACACTTTATACGCCGCAATCTGTTTTCACTGGCTGTTGCTTTGTTAAAAAATAATGACTGGATCAGGTGTTACAAAATTCCAAAACCCCTGAATGCTCATACCAATTTAGTGTGTTTGCTACAGGTATACAAAATAAAAGCTACTGTCTTCCTCTGGACTATATTGCTTTCATAAGTACACGATGAAAGGTAGTTTTAAGAAACTCATTTTTCATGTAACAGACTATTGATATAATTGCTAAAACTTGGCATTTCCAATAAAAAAAATCAACAAATCACACAGTTTATCGCACATGCCATTGAATTTGCACTTTTTGTCCTGTTGTAATTTTTTTTTGTAAATCTAGCTCTTTCTGTTTTTCGACCAGTTTATTTTGAAAAGCTGTTATTTGTCTTTGACTTTTAGGTCCCATGCCAGCCGGTGGTCGACCCCGCCGTGCCTCCCTGGACATGAATGCTGAACATGGCTTCTCTGAAAGTCAGCGAATCATGGAAAATGAGAAACAGTGCCCTCACACTGTCACTGATGTTCTGCGAGCTGTGGCAGTCAGACATGCGTAAGTAGTTGTAGAAAACAAACTGTAGGTTATCATTAGAATGTTATCGATGCTCATTGAATTTTCATAATTTCTAATTTTTGAGTTTGCTCAGTTACAATATGTTTATTTTGATAACCACTAATAAAATATTTTAAAATACTGATTTTTGGTAGATGGATTTATATAACAATTAAAATCTTAACATCCCAAGCCCAGTGGTTGTACACATAAATTGACTTCTCCCTTTTCTGCTTTGTCTCAAACTATTACAAGTTTATCAGTACGTAAACTTTGTATTTCTATCCTTGTATCAAATCTTGTTGTCTTCATGAGTTTTTCTGAAGTGTTTTGCTGCGTGAATGTTCTTGTCTTAGATTTGGTGAGAGCACCACAGATATCCACAGGCATGTTGGGTTGCGGCCTGGAATACACCTGAAAGCTAATGATGTTGGCTTGACCGGACCCGCTGGCCGCAGGATCAGTGTACAACTTAGCCAACAAAACTGTGAGTTCAGCTCACAAACTGTCATGTATCTCATCCTGAGAGTATGTCTCGCTACAGAGACATTTGCCAACAAGATTCATAGAATGTCAATAATAATGGAGCAGTTTGGCCTATTTGGCCCTATATTGCAGGGTAAATGGTTATGTATGTTTGCATAAGAGGAGGCAAGTGATAACTTTTTGTACAAGACATTGCGTTATAGAATGGGCCATTATGCATCTACTTTTCCTAAAGTGAAAATGTGTGTGTTAATCTGTAATTTAAAAATCACCGAAATACTTTTTTCCTCAACATTTTTAATTGGAAGTTTAATTGTAGAACATTAAATAGTGTCACATCAAAAAGTTACAGTACAAAGCGAAAGTGTGTCGCATTTGAAAATCAAATCAAGATATTGGAAGTGTACCAGAACAATGTAGATGTGGACATTTAAAGCTGAATAACACCACCACTACCCTTAGAACGTTTTAAGTGATTATATGTAAATGTGACAGAACTTGTTGACTTTTTTTTTCCAGTGCCGTTATTTGCTGGTGGCAAGATGCAGCAAACAGCCGACACAGCAGATTCCAGCCGTCGTGCTCGGCGTGCTAGTCTCATGCCTGACCGTAAGGACAGCTTGTCAATGCTCACTTCAACAGCTCGTAAGGGTATCCAACATGGTGCCCTAGCTCCCTACCACGGGGTCCTACGTGCCACTGGCTCTCAGATCCTAATGTCCAATGAAGACCTGATGGCCTCTGCTATTAACCTGAATCAGGGCAAAGTCGACAAGGAGCTCCATGACATGCATTACTACACAGGAGCCAAAGTAGCCCGAGCAGCCGGTGCAAAGCGACACAAGTCAGCCGAGTGTACCCGCCGCAACTCCGTCTTCACTGATACACTGAAATTACGGAGTCAACCCAATGCCCTGGACCCTGCCGAACAAGCTATTGTCAACATGTTCAGATCCAAATGCGAAAAGATCAAGTACATGGTTGCTTAAGAACTTTCCATTGTAACTGCCAATGCCTAATTTTCAAAATCGTTTGCCTATTATGACCAACTAAACCTGATTTAAAACAATAGCTGTATTAAAATTGGATCAATGCACACCCACAAATTGTAAACTTCCAAGGGTTGTCTAAAAAAAAACTAACTCTTCAGTGGTAATATATAAATAATCATGGCTGTAAATTATTCAGCGTTATCATCATAATACCAAAAATTAGTGTATGAATAGATTATAAAAACCTCCACGAAATGTCAAAGAAATCACAATGAAACATCAATATTTGTCAAATTAACGTTATTAGGCATTTGATTCTGGATATGTTTTTTTTTTCTGTTTCTAATGTTTCTGACGAGAAGTGTGTCAACCACATTAGGCAAAAACAAAGGAATGCAACATAACTGCACATCAACTGAAATGCTTCTTTTATTGACTTTTTTGGCAATAATACAGAGCAAAGTAAATGAACCGTATTAAGTTCTGATGCACTAATTGTGTAACTATAAATCAGTTTTATTTTTAATTAAAGAGGGAATTCACATGTTTTGTAAATAATCAGACAACAGTATCGCCCACTCAAGGTTGATAATTCATATTAAAAATACAATATCAATAATAAAGATGGTATTGCTTCATCTATTTCATTTTTTTTTCAACCAAAATAAAATTGTGTTAAAATACAACAAGGAAACATTTTAATTGAAACAAATATAACGACTTTCATGAACATCTAAGGAAAGAAAAAAAACCAACTTTGATAATTTTGGTTTACGAAAATACAGAAAGAAAATATTCAAATAATTAAATTTAAAATGCTTGATTTTATACTGAATGCTGGTATAGCACAGACCTACATGATAACGAATATGATAGAAATAAGAAGGAACAAGTATCAGTTTGGCTTAAAAATATATACTGTTGGCATCTTAGATAATTTGGGGAAACCAGCATCTCGCTTATTCCTGTTTCCAGATAAAACGTACATGTAATAACTGAACATTGGAATGACATAATTAAACATCCAACAACTAAACTCTTTCCACTGGAAAATGACAGGTAAATGATACAATAAATGATGACATCAGCAAGTCACAGACTTGTTCAAGTCACTAAGCAGATTTCAAAAGGCAATGTTCATCTCACTGGACACATTTTTACTTAGTTCTTTGACAGTTGAACACTTCTTTGAAAATTAATCAATAAACTATTATACTTTTTTGTGATATCTATCAACACAAACATTGTTTTAACAACTCAGTGTAATGCACATGTATTATAAACCAAACCTGTTGGTATTAATAAAGAGGTGTTTTTTTTTACTTGTACCCATTTATTCCCTTATTATGGATTTTGCCAGTGCAAAAAAGTTTCTGAAAACATTCATTATTGAAAAATGTTCTTTTGTTTCATCTGAAATTTTGGTTGTTTCTCTATGCAAGTTGGCCTCAAGCAGTGGCGTAGCCAGGAATTTTTCAGTGGGGGTGGGGGGGGGGGGGGGGCTGGAACATTTCATGGGGGGCGTCATGTAGATCAATGATAATTTCTTTAGAAACTCAAAATCTCAGGGGGGGGGGGGGGTGTGACTGGGGGGGGACAAGGTTTCATGGGGGGGGGGGGGGGCTGTCGCCCCCCCACGGCTACGCCACTGGCCTCAAGTCTTTCTAAATATGCGTTGAGCTTCAGCAATTGTGAATACTACTCAAACACACTCACTCAAATTAGGATTGCCTGCTATGAACTGCTAGGAAAACATATATATTGGCACTTAATCATATGTTGGCAGTTGCATCAATTTACTGTACATGTAATTCATTTCAAAGAAAATAGAGTTAAAATATAACATTTGAAAGAAAAGGAAAAACTATGGGAAAATGTTCCAAACCTCAGATACACCACACAAATAGCTTTCATTTAAGAGTTGTAATGTCACTGGTATTTTTTGTATCACATGTATTTACAAATAGTAACTGTCTCTTCACTATGACAAAGTGTAAATATGCAAAAAATATGAAATAGAAAATCAGAGACCCTTTTTTTATTACTAAATACTTTTCCTGGAATGATATAGGGACAACAATGAAGCAGTAATGTACAGCATTTCTACAAAGAATCAACTGTTTACGTCATGCATCGCAGCATCTATGTCATTAACTTCATTCAACATTCAACACTGTACAACTGTACCAAGGAAAGTGAAGTTATGAAAAAAATAAGCCTAATCAATACCCATGTGACCTATTCTCAGACGGCTCATGATAATTTGAATGTTCTTGTTTCATTCAAAATTATAAATGCTGATCTTTGTTATCTCATGCCAAAAGTAAGCTTCCACTTAATATTTTCTGTATTACTTGAAGACTCAAAAACAAATTAAAGGTAATGATTTTAAGAACAATTAGATGAGACGATCATTACAATGAAATAGAAAATATATTTACAGACTTTACAAGAGGCCAAAAAAATGACATTCCCCCCACCCCCCCCCCAAAAAAATAAGAATAAAAAAATAAAAAAAACTATTAAAAAATGAAGAAAAAAAATGCAGAAATAAATTCCATTAAGATATTTACACAGATTCCAGAGATGAAGTGATTTAATTGTTAATGCCCAGCATTGATGTATTGACTTCTCCGATATTATTTACATATTATACAAATGCCATACGTATTTGGCATAATCAGTAAATTTCCAGGCACTGCAGATTCCAAGCAATCAATTTCACAAATCTTAAAGATACTTCATCACTAAAATGATGAGCAGTAAGACATGGACTGTTGTTTCTGTTGACCTCATACATGCATCTCAAGCGCTGCACTTGTACCAATCAATCTCAACCGAGAGACTGCTTGTATAGAATGATCAACACTGTCAACAGTGGCTGAATCTTGCTGTGGAAATGCTAGGATTCTGGCTGACCCTGTGCATCATGTGTGTGTACTAAGCCCTAAAGCTGCTTTTCCACATACGCATTTTCAGTCTGTTTTTGTGTCCGTTGCATAGTCAGGCGTGCAGTTTAGAAAAGGTCTAAATATGCAATGGACAAAAATACTGACTAAACAGGTACATATGGAGAGGCGCCTGTTTAGTCCGACATAATTACATGTCCATGAAGGCGCAACAGGTGTTAACACCTGTGGGACCTTGCATAGGACAGTTAACAGCAGCATAAACTGCAATGGGTGGAAGTTGGATCCAGTGGTGGCTGGAAGCCACAGACTCTCAGGCTGTTTGGGGATAGTGCCACAGCATTGTTTTCATCCAGTCTAAAGCAATTAGTTAAGCACTCAAATAGTTAAGGTGACAGTTCTTATTTATATACAAACAAATGCAAAAGCATGTTGAATGCAAAGTTAGACACTAGAGTAATTAACTATACCTCTGTGGCTAAATACCTGACTTCTGAATATCTACATTTTCCAGACAGCATGCATTACTTGTAAGCTAGTCTACCTTTCATCAGGTTAGAGTCATCTCCCAATCCATCTTTTCCATTTTCCTCATCCTCACTGTCATACATATGACTGTCTCATTACAAGACATGTTGAAGCCAGTCTACTAGTCCCCAGACTGTTACCTGTCTAATCATCTTCCTCTTCATCCTCTTCCATTTCACCGTAGCACTCCTCTGCCACCATGTAGTACTTGTTGGCCAGTCTACCTTTCATACCTGCCATTGCTCCCTCTGCTGCTTCATTGTACAAGTCACCTGTGAGACAAAAACAGTACCTCTTTGTAATCTGGGCCAAGTGTCAGTTTTGATTATTTGACACTTTTCATAAATAAGTTGAACTTCAAAGGTGATCAATCCACGTTTACCCAACTACACAAACAAGGCCAGACTATGCAACTACCTCTCACAACAGTTGTTTGGTGCTTCAAAACCAATTCTGCACTAAACGCGGTTAGCACTGACTCCTTAGTTATTGGATGTACACATGCGCACTAGCTAACATGTTGTGCTGATCTGTGAGACATGCACACACTTAGCATTTAAGTTTCTTCTATAGGTAGCACAGATAGTTTGTTTCAGGTAAGCAGGGCCAAGACATGTAGCCCTGGTCTCCAGCTGGACTTACCTGCTTTTCGTGGGTTCTTATCCAGTCCATGTCCTCCTGTTCTGTACATTTCAGCCTGCTTGACCAGTAGCTGATAGTTAGGATCTTCATTCAGACAATCAAAGCCTCCATCGTCATCCTCTTTGGACATAGCGATAGCCTGCTGATACCAATGCACTGCCTCAGTCCATATGATCTCTCTACATACAACGATACAACCAGACTATCAGAAAGCAAAAACGCTCCGGTTACATCCATGCCCTATTACAGCGAACAGGGTGAAGACATCCAGTGAGGTTTCAAATATTCTGAGACTGAAACTATTTCTAAGGGGGAAGTAAACTTTTAACATCATAATTTTCTCATTTTCAAAAACCTAGGTGAAGTAGTGAACTATAGAAAATCCTTGAACAGATATTCGAAGGTAGTTTTTTGTATGTATTGATTTATTGTTTGCATTTCCCGCTTTTGTTTCTCATAGTTGTGCCTATAGTGCCTGGGGATAACATTATCCATGCTCTATAGGGCACTTTATTTATTAATTTGAGTATGGACTATGTTTCACCATAGAATGTAACAAAATCTTTGGGCAGGGTTGAGTTGTCGAGTTTTAAACAGCGATAGTTAAAAAATAGTGTGGTGACTGACACAGAAGTGAGAAATGCAATCAAACAGAAAATGTAAACAAAACTGAGCAGTTGGTGATGAACAATGGTTTCACAAATTTCATATGATCAGGACATTGCAATAATTGCATATTAATAAGGAGATTTCAGCTAACGTTTGCACTCCAACCTACTCAAAGGTTGTAGCTCAAAGCATATGTGGGATTCAAACTGGATTGGACAAAGGGCCATGGATCATACCTGTTGGTGCCTAGGTTGGTTCCCGACTCATATGCCTTGGCTAGGTATATCATCGAGGGTCTGTCCCCAGCCTCAGCAGCCTGCTCCATCAAATCCATGCCATCGTTAATGTTCTCTTCACAGTCCTACACCACAATACCAGGTCACATGGAAAGGATATAATTCAGATCAGCAAGATTTTAAACGGAGAAGACTTTTGGACACTGCATATTGTCATCTGCACACGATGGAATAATACTAAATGAAAATTTGTGAACAACCCTATTTTTTTGATTTGTAGAAATGTGGCATCCCTTGGATGTAACCTTTACAATACAAATACCATTTGAAGAATAAATTAACACATGCAATGCGAAATATCATTGATCAAATCGCACTGAATGAAAGCAGATAACGCAAATCTAAAAAAACCACACATTTTCTTCATATTTAACAAGTTTTTGCTCAACCGAAGTTTTAACTCTCTGCGTACCAATATATCGGTTCAAAATGGCAATAGCTGGAGATTGCAAGCTGATGTGTCAGCATCATGGCACATTGCTTTCAGTCAATCTTAAGGCAACTAATTCCCTAGTCAAACAAAGTAGAAGAACATTGGTTCCACTTTAAAGACGCACTCCCCGTGCTACATTCGAGTTTCGCCTAAAAAAATACATTTCTTTTTTCAATTGCTATTTAGTTATTCACTTTTGAATGAGACATCAAACATAAAACATCCACCGACGTTTAGTTCTTGAAATATTTCTTCACAAAAATCGAATTAATGAATGTGGTTTGCGGTAACGCCATGTGATAGGGCTGAAACAATTCACCTGGGTCATGATACGATACGTATCACGATACATCCAAACGATATAATACATGTCACGATATATATTACAACAAAAATCCTGATCCCAGATGATTTTCAAAATATGGTTACATAAAACAATACCAAGTGAAGTCTTATCCTCTCTGTCAGTTGCCTGACAGCATTTATTTACTTTAGTGTCAGTAAGAATCCAGAACTGAAGACCCTCAAGACACATGTGCAAACCAGTCCAAAAAAATAATTAGAAAATTATTTTTAAAGCAAATTATTCACCATTTTTTTTCATACCCACAAGTCATTGGAACCGGGGCCTTGCAAGGAATGAACCCACGTCCCACTTCAATTCATGACGGGCACGTAACGACATGATAGAATTGTCTCATGACGGACACGAACCACTAAATATCCCCTCACCAATTTGTTTATTTGCATTAAAAGAATTGGTACATAGAACAGTGATCATTTTATGGACGGAAACTAACCTGTAACGTTATTTGTATATAGGCCTAGGCTTTTTGCAGTAACGTTAACGAAGCAGCAAATCAGGTAAAAACTACGCTTGATGTATTTTTTCGATCATGTTCCAATGTCTGGAAAACGGCCTAGTTCCCTTTACTATTGCATGCAAATTTCATTTACCCAAGATTGGTACCCATCTATCAGTGCAGTGAAAATTGACAGACGCCCTCAGCTGACATCTGGGTATATACACGACGCATGCGCATTTAAGAGTGACCCCACATCAGCTATTATTATTAAAGTGCAGCGTCATCCCCTTTTTAATTTTTGTTTCTATTTTTGAAAAAAATAATAGGAATTCACTCATGTATTATTAGAATCCCAACGCGTGTTCCGTTTGCAACAGACGTACTCAAATAATCGGGGTGCCCCATAACAAATGTTCTTATTGGCTGAACGCCACGCGGCACAGTGTACCAGTCTTTTGGGATCGGCTACAAGGCGAGCTGTGCGTGGGGCGTGGGGAGACTGCACATGTTATTTTCGGCACAGCGCCATTTTAAGTACGAGTACGTGGTACTTCTTTTCCTTGAATTCTGGTGCAGTTGTATGTATCGTTTTGTATCATTATTTTAACATTCGTATCGATATATAGTATCGTATCAAAATATCGCGATACGGATATGCATCGATATATCGTTTCAGCCTTACCATGTGAATGATATCTCTTTGTGAGTTGTGTGGTTCTGAGAAGAACCAGTTGGTTTAACCTAATGTTTCGAACAGTATGCTGTGTGTATCATCAAATTATTGGTTACCAGACAACAAATTGGCTCTCGCAGGGCATGTTCATTTGTGCACAAAGTGAAATTCCTTTTGCAGACACACAAGATCAGAATAACTTTTTTTTTTCATTAAAACAAAACATTCAAACTGAAAATTAATTTGGAGAATTTTTGTTTTTGTTTTGAAGAGCACGGGGTATGTCAGTCTCAAGTATCTGCTTACATCAATGACGACAGCTTCTAAGATATCATGAGGTAAGTTGAGGTAGATCCTTGCTAGAGCTAAGATAGCTTCCATGGTGCCACAATGAGATGCCTGCTGAAGGTGGTAGAAAGCTGCCTGCATATTGCGCTGCTCCAAGCTATCCACAAAACGCCCAATCTCATGGTATTTGGCTAAGTCCAAGTGGATCTGGAACAAAAACAGAATGAAATGTTAATTAAATTGCCATGAAACTTGAAACTTAGTTTTCAATACTGAAGTCAAATTTTATACTAGAGAGTATTGTGATAATCAGCTAGCTTAAATTGTCATTTAATAAGTCCCTGCCCTTTCAACAATAATACAAGTTTTCAAACCTACTTGGCCAAGTGTAGAGCCTCCAATCTTGCGTTGCATGTTGAGTCTTGCCCGCATGGCCATCTCCACATTGACTGAGGATGCCTTATGTGTCTTGTTCATAAACATGGCTTTGCGTTCCTCCTCCTAAAACGACAAACACATACACAAAATTCAAAAACACATTTATGAACTGAAGGGTTAAAGTGATGTGGAGCTGTCATTTATGACTTGTTTGGCAAGAAAGCTTAACATGTAGCTTCGAGTCTGATCTCACACAATATTAAGACAGGTGGGTGTTAAGAAATAGTAATTATAAACACTAAACTTCTCTAGCCAAGATATTTTGACACTCTGACATCATGAACATCATAACAGATGAATTTTTACAAAATATTCCTACTACATTCTTAACAATGTAAAATTCACCCATGCATGTACTCTCAAATCATGAAAAATATCTACATTGTAAGCATGCAGTGTATGACAACATGTGCACTGGCAATAGAGCTTGCCTTGCTCTGTAAACTACTAAATACACTGAATAGACACAAGAATATCTAAACATAAATTGGTGATTATGAATATAGTGCTTGTGATTTCCACCTAAGATGTCGACTTCATTTAGCAAAAGGTTTCAATAAAAGTAGAAATTGTAACACAAACAAAATCAATGAACACCACAATGAACCTTCTACAACGAAATGTCAAGTCAGTAAAACCATTTAGGATTTTTATGTTATGAAAAGAGAAAGCAATATTTCCAGCCTAACAGAGCTCTGAAACATAATACCGGTAAGTAAAACAAGAAGAACAGAAAAGCTATGACCTCTGTATCAGTGGAGAGTATTCAGCACAAATCAAGCATGGAAAGAGAGTATTTTGCACAGGAAAGTATATAAAAGTGCATGTAGTTTTTGAAGGTAAAAGTGGGGATTTATTTTTGTGTGAATAATTTTGTTTTGCAGCTTGTAGAGGAAGGCTGATGAACCACAAATATACGTGGTGAGCAAAGCAACTGCTTCTTGACAACTGTTGCAAAGATATCTTCATGAAGAAAAGTTTGAAATCTGTTGAAAGTGCAGCCGTTCCTGTTGTTATTACAGGTTCTTTACCATGTGTTAGCTCTATACCCAAATCCTCTCTCTAGCTATGAAAATGGGTCATAGCCATCATCCCTGGTGCACCCATGCTAAGGTGCAATCCTCTACTATGGACTACACACCCTCAAATACTGTAGGTATGTCACAATGTCAAGTGATTGACAGCTGTGTGTCTTTTAACTGTTGAATTTTCTTAGGTGTGCCACAAGTCTAAACAAAATTAATATTTGACTATAAAGCAACAAATATGACCAACTCCACAAAATGAGTCACTTGTCCCTGGCTTTCAATTTCTATCGTAGTCTTTTGAAACTTTAGAGGAAAAATAACGTGCTAGTACGCACCTCAACTTGGGTAATACATGTACCCGATGTTTCAGACACTTTACATGCATTTCTAAAGGACAGCTTCAAAGAGAACTGACCAAAACATCCAGGAATTTAGATAGTTCCTTGATTACATACTGTGTATATTCCATGGTTTATCAAGACTTAACATTTTGCAGAAGCCATATGAATTAACACAGTACGTTCACAGTACTTTTGGCATCACTCAATCATACACTTTACTGAAACCTAAATTTTGCAACAAGTGGCTCAATTCCGGAGGATTGATCACATGCAGATTGGCATTGTGTCATTTTTTTTTATTATGTCCAACGTGCCTGTGTAGCTTGCGATAGGCAATGGTTTCATATGTGCAATATATATAGTTTCTATAGTCCATCATTTGCAGCAATCCGAAAAGTAACTGGCGTAATTATTGTTGAAAAACATACTTGGTTGAAAGATAGTAAGGAGACTAAACTCCTTGTGAAATTATTCTTTCTGGCAAGCTGTTATTTTGAAGAAATCAATGAAAGAAGGCCTTTCCAACGGTGCATCTTAAGACGCACCGTAGGAAAATTTAAATTAGTAGTTCGTTTTGTTGTTCAGCGAAGCGCGCGCAAGCATTGGCACGACGCACACGCGGTTGCTATAATTCGTCGGATCAGTGCGCGACATCGCGTATAGCTGCAATCGGCTCAGTGAGAACGTGTCTCGGACGCTGAATTCAGGCCCAATTCAAAACATGATTCAGCAACTTTTCATTTGAAATTGAGATCCTAGAATGCTGTTTTTCTTGGAATATACAGCTGAAGCTGAGCTGAAACTTCATCAGGTTAGTTGTTCAGTATCCTTCATTAGATTTTGAACACTTTTGTTGCTTCAAACGAACAAAATGCACAAATTACAAATGATGGACTATATCTTTAAATACTACAGGATTTTCTCTATCCTTTGTTAGTTCACTCCAAAGGTTTCCCAGCTAACATTTTTTTGCTCACCCGTGACAGTAACGAAAGTTAATGGTAAATGCTTTCCTGACGAAATCTTCTTGAGCAATTTTTTTGAAAGAGTGTATTCAAGCTGAAATGAGTATCATTATTAACAGACTGCAAAGGTTAACAACAGATACAAGTACACCACAATTAACTCACTTTCTTGTCGACCAATTCATTTTCCTAAATAAAATTCAAATAAATAAGAGAAATATGAAACGGTTACCTTTTTTGCACCATGTAACAAATCTCTTTTGTGAGCTTGTGAGGTTCTGAAAAGAACCGGGAGAAACTCAACGTTTCGGACAGTATGCTCTGCTGGTCATCAGGGGACCGAGGGATTCCAATGATGAAGGAGTGTTATGTAGTAGATCTGGAAGAACCCCTCAAACTCACAAAAGAGATCTGTTACATAGTGCAACCGAAAACTTAATCTTATTGCTACCGGTATCTTCGCCATGCAAACCTTCAAATCTTATCTACGTTTTCCAAAGTACAAAATCCAGACAAACTGGTTTTATGAGCAATTAATGTACAAAGCATTCACAAAAATATGACTGTGGTAAAGACCCCTTTTTTTATAGATGACAATTGAAATAATGTCACCGGATATTAATTGCAGGATTTCTTCATTCCCCCCCTTTTTTTTTTAAACTAAAGTCAATTTGTTAGCTAAAAACATGGCCATAGAGTGTCTTCAAAAATGCTTAGCTAAGTGCAGTAAGGCTCTCAGCAAATAACCACAAATTAATCACTACACCTCTAGTTGATAGGAAGTTTGCTTAAGTCTTGTACTTACCCTGCTGAGTGTATCACTATCAGACTCGGCCCTGAATCTGACTGACGGTGCATCCTCCTCAGATACCGCCCTGCGTCGCCCCGAAGAAAAAAAGTGATTCTTGGGGCTGCTGCTTCCCCTGGGTGACATACTGACATCCTCAGGGGAGGAGGGGATCTCAGACAGAGGGGCTGGGGAACACTCAGGGGAGGTGGACTCAGTGGAACACTCTGAGATGGACCGCTCCAAGATGACAAACTTGGTGACATCCATGGGCGAGATGGAGGGACGATGACGGGGGCGTAGAACATTGTTCTCTGTGCCTCTCACATGAGTAGATGCCCTCCGCTATGAGAAACAAACAAAACAAAAACATTTGAACCCGTTAACATAAATTCATTTTAAACTTGTCCATGGGAAAACAAGACTTTTTTTCACTCAGGGTAACCTCAAATCACATGTCCCTAAACAAATGAATTTGAAGAGGAAACTCTAAGTTTCTTTTATTTCCCTTTTTGGTTGTTCTTCAAGGAATAAGGAAGTGTTTATAAGAAGGGAGTTTTATTTATAATATAAAAAAGAAAAGAAAAGACAAATAAGTGACGAATTGTGAAGGAAATCAGTGGATAAAATGGTAAATGACAACATATTTTTAAATAGAAAAATCAATAGTATTTTCATTAGCATCATATTATCAATACGTGATTATAATGATTTGCACTACATGTTCAAAATGTCAAGTAAAAGATACACAAAATGAAAAATTACGGTGTGTTCCTCGTTCCTGAATCTTGATGCGCTGCAGATTTGCTAATAAACAATCAGCTTTTGTCAATTCATGAAAAAGTGAACCAAAACCTGCAAAGATTCACTGTGCTTGCTCTCACCTGTCTGGTCACTAGCTTCTCATGGTCAGCTATCTCACTCCGGTGAAGGTCAAAGGGCGTCAGACTGAGCCCACTACAGATCTCATTACAAGCGTGTGAAGCAAAGAAGAGAGCCATACCACGGGTGCCCAGATTCCCTTCATTGTACTCAGTCCCATTCACTGTGTGGATCTGGGGATCTGTGTACAAGTCTCCAACCCCTGCAGATAGATACAATCAATGTTTCAGCCATATTGCCATTTTTTTGCCACGCTTTTTTACAAAAGTGACAGTGGGTCTCAGTAAACCAGGCAATGTCACCAAATAATCAAAATGAATCAGGTTTTTGCAAACCTATGCAATCAGGTTTTGACAAACCTTGTATATAACTAGATTTTAACAAATCTATAAAAACCTAGGTAAGTACAGGTATACAAGTAGGTTTAATGACAATCCTATTTAACCAGGTTAGACAACACAAATTCATCTGTGAGGACTTTTACCTTTACCAAATGACTGTTTTAAACTTCCTCCATTTCAGAGGTGTTGCTGTGGTATCCAAGGCATAGCCTTACAAAGGTGGCTTTTGAACTTTTGTCTCTTTGTGCCTGCACTTACCCTGAATATCAACTACAATCAACTTGTGTCCAGATCTCTCAAATGTGAAGTGACTGAATGCCTTTGAAAAACAAACACAGAATTGAAGGCAAATTATGAACAGAAATTAATTGACTTGTAAGACCATCAGCAACTCAGCATTGTGCTATAAAAATGTGGATTTTAATGAATAAAATACCAGGGAATCATAAAATTGATGTTTATACATGTATGGTGTCCCTAAGAATGTTATATCACTTTGCTACCTACATGTAGTTTACATATACTTCTTGAACATATTCTGTTGTTACTGTAATGATCGACTCTCAAATCTCAAATAAAAACCTTTGAGAATGGATCAAAAGGTGAGTACAATTACATAACTTGTTGGCACATGTAGTTTTTGGTCATAGGTTTTTGTCGTTGATGGTTACATATTTGAATGTTTAATCTACTGATATAATTTCTGTCAGTTTGATATTACTAATGAATTTCATACACTGTCTTTGACGATAAATACAAAACCTCTGAATATCAACAAATAAACAGTGTGGATTCATATTCTGTCTCATTCAAACAGATCAAAACCTCTGAATGACTAAAATATAATCAGTGTGGGTTCAAATCCTGCCTCTTGCACTCATATCAGAACCTATAAATAAGCACAACATAAACAGTGTTGGTTTGAACCCAATATCTCTCAGTTTCCAGCCAACTTGACACACCTGTGGAGTAAGTCGGAGTTTCTCATCACTGACGTATCCCGAGTTGGAGTTGTATTTGATGTACTTGCCCTCAATGAAGTTCTCCAGATGGAACAGAGGATTACCAGGCCGATTCTTGAACTCCAAGACACACATCTGAACGATATCAACCTAAGAGAACAATCAAGAACATCAATTCAACATTCATAAGTGACCCCACACCTGACCTTTTTCCTTGCAGCTAATAATGATGAAAAAAAAACCCGTTTTTTTCATAAGGGTCCTGTCTGTAAGTCACAATGAGGATTTTTTGTCATTCATAATGACGCAAAAAACAACATATTTTGAGGTTTTTAAACTACTCAAACTTGTAGCAATTTTCCAAATTCCCCACTGCTGGTATAAACACACGAGGTTGATGAGTACACATATGGCAGTCCAAGCATACTGATACCGTGCGGTACAGACCCCGTCAGCCATGGTGCACGTGCGCAAGACTTAAAATTATTGTGTCAATTAAGCAGTTTTCTTAAATAAAACTGTTTTGGGCTGAAATTCTGTAAGTGGTATGTGAAATACACCTCAACTATATCTAGACAGCATAAAAACGATGGAAACAAAATAATATACACATGCATTCCCGACGTACCGAACCTCATTTCAATTGGCATGTAATTGGAAGCAGATGATTTTTTTCTTGTCCTAAACATTACAAGCCTCGCGAAATTTAAAAAAAATGTAGTTGCCCTTTGGGCAGGGGTTTTTGAAATCTGGTTGCCCGAATTTCATTTTCAGTTGCCCAATAAAGAACTTTTAATATTGCCCCAAACTGAAGGCCAAATCCTAATAATGTACATGGCTGCTTTACCTGCAGTGGCTCAGGGCTCACAAAATTGGCTGTCAGACTTCCCAGGACAACCAAAATATTTTGTACTCAGCTGCTGCGCTATCGCCATTTTGCAAGCGTGCGTGGCCGACAGTGGCTGTGTGTGCGTGTGTACGGTACCCGCGCTCTGCGCCGCGCTGGTACATGGTGTACAGTGGTCCGGTCATTATTATTGGAAACACACAGGAATGTATTCGCGTACGTGAAATGTATGATGTAGCCTGACCGTACATACATATTGAGATTGACCGCTGTTCTGTTTTGGCTGGTACCCGTTTTTGGTTTATGCATTGATCTCAATGGGTTTATGCGTAGATTACCAACATCAAATGGCGGTAGCGTAGCAGCTGACTCATCATGATTATTATTCAACACTGTGCACATGGGATTCTGGAACTTTCGAAAATCCCGTGGACTAAAATAAAGTGTACAACTGTGAGAGTATTAGTGGAAAAAAAAAGGTGTTTGCCCGTCGGGCTGGCAACCTGGAACTTTTGGTTGTCCAACAAAATATTTTGGTTGTCCCGGGACATCGGACAACTGATTTCGCGAGCCCTGCATTATAGCAGTACAGCAGTACATTATTTTACATACATAACATGACATAGGGGGCCGGGGTCCTACTATTAATACTTGAATTTAGTTACATTGTTAACCAAAATTGAAAAAAAGGGTTCTTGCTTTATACTGATTTAGTGTAATTCCTATCTTCAAATCATTATTTAAAACACAAAACAGACATATTATTATGCACTACTGTATGCACAATTACAATGCATCATAGACACATATGGTGACACACAGTACAAAGCTGTGCTGTGTGACTATGAAACAAAATATACCCTGGGAATATATGGCTCCTTCCCAGGGCAGTGTTATTATGATAAAGATATACACAGTCGGTTGCACTAATGAATACATATTTGTTCGGCTTTTTAAGCATAAAATCATAATGCTCTGTTGCGGCTACATATTAATAACATCACAAAGCACTCTATAAGTTCATGTACAGTACACATCCACAGACCTTGTACATGTACTGTACATATGTACAAAAAAAATAAAATAAGCATAAATGGTAATATGACACCCAATGCAACTATGCTGACCTGCCCAACATGCACAAAGGCCTGTACATATCAACTCACCAACCCACGCATTATGTCAATGAGACTGATTGTATGTCAATACATGTACAACGACAGGCATTTTCAATTTCATTGTAGAGCTTTCTACGAGGGACTGACTTTTCGAAGTAAACAACTCCAAATAAGTACATCACGGTACACAATATGAATGGTTACTAATGTGTTATGCATTTAATAGTTTAGTTTATTTCCCTGAATAACATTAATAACCTAAATCTACCCAAATCTCCAGCTTGTTCTTGGTTCTTTCTTTTAGTTTTTGTTTTAGTTACATTTTGAAGGATTCCACATGAAACGGAATCTATGAAAATTGTGGTTCATTAGCATATTTACATGTATTTTTTTTATCGACCATTCCAACCATATTTTGTTCAAAGAATTGTTTGTCTTTGAATCATTTACATGTATACAACTGAATATTACCAACCAACACTGTGTATTGAGGATTGTCAAAAGACTCTGTAAACACAAATGCTTCAAACTTAGTATTTACATCGTATATGGATTCAGCTAATTGCTTTTCTGGACATCACAGGGGCCTCATGAAATTTCTCAACTTTCTTTCTTTACATTTATTTTTTTGTTCTTTTCATTATGACACGCAATAAAAAAAAATAATGCAATGATTAGAGGATTTACTCAAAAAAACTCAAAAATCTCAAACTTAAAAAGGCATACAAAATCATTTGCTTTTCATGCATTTGTTCTGTCTCCAATTAAGAACACCACTCAAAATGCAAAGAAGGAAGTTCAAAACCTAAACTGTTGAAGTTTCAGCTTACTTGATACATGTATTACACTTTTCGAGAAAACAGCGAAAAGTACAACCTTTTGACCATGAAACACGACTCGTCAAAGGCACTCTTCATTCTTATAATCGGTCAATTGACTGTTTGTAGGAAATCACCCACATGTGTTTTGAACCTGTACGATCTTAATCCAAGTAAGATTTTGGAATTTTGATAATAATTTGGTGGGTTACTACTTTTGGGACGGATGCAAAAATCCTATACGTCTTTAAACATTATCTTTATTTGTCAAAATGATGAAGTTCCTGCCCCAAAACTCTACCTTTTTGGGAGGGTTGTGACGACTGAACTCCTCTCCCCATATCTTGGCATCCATCTGCAGACGCACATCTTGAAAGTATATCTCCCTATCAACTGTCTCCATGTAGCTCTTGGCAACAAAGTTACCAGCATGCTTCCAGTCACTGTTCCTTTGCCGGGTAAAATTTGACAACTTCTTCCTGTCAAAGACAAGAATGTGCAAGTGAATTTTGTTTGTTTTAAAATGAAATACAAATATATATTGATGTGTGACAGTCGCCTCAAGGACAGTAAAAACTCCAACAAAAGATGATAACTTACTCATGATACCGATAATTATGTCTGACCATGCTACTGATGACTGGCCTTACAGAATATTAAGTGGAACATACAGATGTTAGTTAACTTGTGGTCTCTTCTATGAAGCATGTAACAATGAAACTGAAAGGTGAAAATCTACATTTTGTCACATTTTAACAATTTCTGACAAACTGTAACTTGAAATGGTAGATTAAAAAGTTAAACTGAAACATAGGCCTATTTTTAATAGAAGGATGCAAATGTAAAAGTGACCCTACTATGTACAAAATGCATGTTTGCGCCTGATATGTTGTAGCCTTTCGCCAAGGCCATCGTGGCTTAACTTGCCAGCATTTGACAAAGCGGCGAAGCCGCGAAGCGACTGGAGCAGGAGACCACACACGCGAGTGGCAATGCCACAAGGCCTTTTACAACTTGTCAAGAATTTCTTATGTTTTTCCTTATAATCTCGATTTTTGCTACCCCAAAAGGGTAGCAAAATTCCAAACAATCGGAAACGACGGAGTCAGCGTTCAACCGCAAAACCGCAAAATCAAGTTCGTAAAGGCCTCGTGGCCACGCCACTCGTGAGTGCTGACTTAATCTTTGCTCCAGTCGCTTAGTGCTTTCGCCGCTCCGCCGCTCTAAGCCACGATTGCCTTGGAGAAAGGCTAGATATGTTGGGGAAAACAGATCCATTGATATCATAATAAAGTTGAATGGGAACGAAACACTTACAGCCTGAAACACTGTCTCATAGCACCACGAGCAAAGGACTAGGAAAAAAAGTTAAAAGAAAAAGTCATGGTTCTGCTTCAAACTAAAAAAATTAGGATCCTTTATTCTTCAAATAAAATTGAAACTCGACACATCCTGATACTCAGTGATAGTCCCCCCCCCCTCCCCTTTAAAATTCCAATTAAATATCCAAGGACATAGGTTTCACTGTGTGTTACACAAAGCACCATAAAGCCATACATCCCATACATCTATAGGGTTTTGTTGATGTAATTGGAAATTTGATGTTTTGGCATGTACATGCGCCATTTACTGGTTGTGGAAAACAAAGAATGTAAAGGTGGATCACATGCTCCGATTATGCCCACCCTCGAAGGGTTGCACAAAGGATTCAACTTCAAGCATGATTGCTTTGCTACAATGTACAAAAGTACATGTAATGTACGGTAACTGCATGTATGGTCTTGGTAAATGTTTCCATGTCAAAGAGTCTAGCAGTAGCAAAGAGTCTAGCAGCAAAATTTGTTATCACTGTGCCGTAAGTGTAAATGTACCAGCCCAAATAAGTTTTCTACCAAATGGTTTTGAAATAATATTCATGAATTCAACTGCAGCTTTGCCTTTGGAAATTACTTCAGAGCTCTCAACTCACCTCTTTGGCCACCTTGACTTTAACATTATCAATGATCCACTTATTGGTTCCAGCACTGTAGCGATGACGGACAGCTGTTTCAGTAGGGTAATCCTCCAAATGGAATTGAAGCCAAGGATCTGCTACTGACTGTGCCTTCATAATGGCATGCTTCCATTTCTTCCTCAAGGGTGGGGTTCTCTTTCTCTGTACTTCCACTCGTTCTACTGGAGGCGCCAGAAGGATCATGTCCATCAGGGGGACAATGTGCATCTCAGCATCATCATCATCGTCGATTTCAACCACTCCCTTGGCCGCATTCAGATTTAGCGGCAGGAGGGAGTGTGGCTTGGACATGGCGAGTGGGCGCTTGAGCTCAGGGAAATACAGACAAGCACGTAGCAACTGCCGAGGGACATTAACGGCCAATATACCATGTCTTTGTAGAAGCCTCGAGATATGACGCTAAGCATTTAAGACAGAGCCTTGAAACTGCCCAAGTTGTGATGTTAACTGCAATGAATAAAAGAAAAAAAAAGAAACTTACTATGATTTTTATTGGTTTCCATCATGAATTACATGTACAATGTTTTAGTAAACCATGTTTCAGGAAAGTTTTTTTATCCAACAACACTCAGTAAAGCAAAATGCATTGGTTTCCAGCTCAGATAAACATTCAACAATCTATTTGAATTTTGATTTAGGATCTTGTTGGATTCAGTAAGAGGCACAGTTTAAATCCATTTTCCCCACCACAAAGAATAGTACAAATATGGTGAATGAAACCACTGTTTACATGAAAATACAACTATTCAGTGGCGGTAAGTCTTCAGTGACATATATTCATTGAACCACGAATTGACCAATCACCACTCAATGTTTTTAACCTATTACAACAGTGACAAATGCAACTAAATGTCTGTCAAAACTAAAGCCTTTATACACTTGCCTTACCAAACAGTTACATTTTACATGTAGTAACAACAATGTATGTAGTTCAATTCAAATTTGGCAAGAAATAGGCAACGGTAGTCATTTTTTCCACAACTTTTTCTACAGATCTATACGCCTTAAGCTTTATGCAAAGTCAGATCAAACCTATCGCTCCAGCAGTGACTGCACAACTACATGTACATCGCGTACTTCCATATAATAACATCACATTAGGCCAAAAAAAAAAAGTCTCCGGTTTCTGGTATGCGCGCGCGTCGCCGTAGCCATGCGCGTCGGCAAAATGAAAAAGGTTTTTTTTCAATACAAGATGATGTTTCAAAACCGCCAAACTCACTGGTTTGACTGAAATTCTGCTGCTGCACAATTTTGACGTGTTTTTAGAAGGAGTTATGATCGAGAATAAGATTTATGTGGCCTCTCTGGACTCCCATATATTTGCACTAAGTTTAGTCGGGCACCATTTGCAGTCATCAGCCGACATTTGAAGCCAAAAAAAAAAAAAAAAAAAAACGGGTAAAAAAAAAAAAAAAAGCCGCGTCGCCGCACCACTTTTGGGGCAAGCTCCATACCAGAAACCGGAGACTTTTTTTTTGGCCTTACAACAAAATCTCCAACATATATTCTATTGAAACAAAATATTATGAAACACATCTGTACATGCAGAAACACACGTAGACATCCTGAATGCTCAATATCAAATGACTCATCAGGTCAAATTAACCACTAGTATGGAAAGGTCAAAATCCCTTTAATCAGTAAATAAACACCGACGCATAACTAGGTCAATACTTACATACTCTGACCGATACGTAACGGAAATTTCCACTGTTATTAATTTACAAAATTAATAATTAGCTGATACTAGTACAAGCAGTGCATGTAGACTACAGTAATTAGTGACTAAATTTAATTTCGTCAAACCTCTGTGACATATGTAGTAATACCATTTATATAGGCCTACATGTACAAGTTTTCAAAAAAGTGTGCAGATTAAACTGAGAGAAATACCCTTAAGATAGGATAAAGTTTGCAGCAACTGATCTTTATGCTTTGGAGAAAAAAATCAAGTACTTACAATCAAGTAGGGCCTACAATGTACACTTAAAACCTAATGAGTTCCTTTATTGTTGTTAATGTTATTTTGTAAACACTGTAGTGACTAGTGTTGGTCAATGCTCATTCCCCCTCCACTTGGCAAAAGTCTACATGAACGCAAGTCCGTCCCACAGCACTCAAGAAAACTCCAACAAAAAAATGTCCATGAAGGAAATCTAAAATCCAGGTTCAATATTCTTACCTACATGTACATGTATGCAGACCAATTACAAACTAGACTTATGTTTGTGGACAAACATAGGGCTGTTTCGGTATTTTTTGTGACATGTGACATGTAAAGTTTGAAGTACAAGTTCCATCCAGGAAGAATGTGTAGTTCTGTTGATAATAACTGGTGGCATATAATATGTGATTACATTCCCATGGGGCTTTGAATTATGACGTCACATGTGACATAATGACGTCATGATGACGTCACAAACTATATTTAAGAATACGCTCAAGAAGCGTTTCTATGCCCACCGGTCAACGGTCAACACCAAGAAACTAGACACCCCTGTCGGTCATCACTTCAACCTGCCTAACCACTCCATTTCTGATATGATTTTGCAGGGCATTGAATCTCTTGGCCATCGCAAGGACTCAGTTCGCCTCAGCAGAGAGAAAGTGTGGATGAATCGTCTTCGAACTATTCAACCACATGGTCTCAACATCCAACTTGGAAACGATTAATCCGTTTCTTCCTCCATTGTCTTCTGTTACAGATAATCCACCTGGTCTTCCTTGTTTGTGTTTACCCATCTTCCCCCATCTTTCATCCCTTTCCACCTCCATACTGTCCCCCCCCCCCCCCCCCCCCCCGCATCATCCCTCTTCACTCTCACACTCTTTTGTCCGTTCCCACTCCCTGTGACCTTTGATCCTTCCCCTTTCTGGTCCCTCCCCTGTTTATACCAGACCCCTTGTGGTTTGCCATCTCCCTTTGTTTCTTTGTTCTCTCATCCACCCTCCCCTGCATCTTTCCACACCTTTCCCACCTAATCCTCCTTTTGTGTTTCTTCTTTCAGCCCTGCAAGTTTGTGTGCACCCCCATGTTAATGTATGTACCTCTGTCATTTCTGTTTTAGCCTCTGAAGAAGAACTTGCTAAGTTCGCAACGTCAGGCCACATTAATTTTTAGAAACTATATTTTTGTTTGTAAATAACAACTTAGCCATAGCATACATCGTTGAAAGTAAGTTGACATCTTTCACCAATTTTAAATTACAAGGCACTTCCGGTTTCAACCTGAAGGAAGGGTCACGTGATTTTGCACATAATATATAAAAATTAAGACCCTGGATTATTCTATCGATTCCAATATTAAAGGTTATTAGATAAGGCCCCTGTAAACTCCTATTTCCAATCTCTTAAGACTGATCAACCCACATAATTAAATTACCATGAATAAATGCTGACGTGTATCAAACATCACGTTTGTCACATGGACAGACATACAATGTACATGTATTGTGTATAAAATTTCTAACTAGAAATAAAAATGTGACTGATAATTACCCAAACGTTTTAACTATTCTCTCAAGTTAATTTGTGATCATTTTATTTGCATAAAGACTACTTCAATAGATGAACAGCGTGTAATTTTGTTTCAATGAATCACGTTTGTCATAAGGACAGACTCATTTATCATGTTTGTCACATGGACAGACTTTTTGTGTTTTAAAGTCAAATTTAAGAATGAAAACAGTATTGATCATACATGTAAGCCAATATTTTTCTAAATTAGTTTATAATAATCTTAATTACATAAATCTATTTACTTTATTTTAGATGAGCACCATGTAGTTATGTTTCAATGAGTAACGTTTGTTACATGGACAGACATGTGCATGTACACTATAGTATCACATATGTCACCTTCCTGGGAGCTGAGGACAGACGATCTTCTCGATCTCTGTTCAACAAAATGGACTGAATTCTAATAAGGCCAAAAAAAAGAATAGTTCTGCTTCCGGTTACCCGACCGACCCTAATTTTAGGCTGCGACCCTAAAAATTTTTATCGGCAATTCCAAAAAAAAAAAAAAAAAAAAAAAAAATTGAATAAATACAAATAAAATCTGTCTTTTCTGTCTTCACAAAATACCTCTCAACAACCCTTTTGCATCCAAAAATGCTTGTATTTATTTGTTTTCTTATTTACATTCGCTTTTTTTTCAAAGAAACCTCCGTTATTACAAATTTGCTTCGCGATATAACTACTTCGCAATTCGATGTCACGCACGGTGACTATAATCACGTGGCGACGACTGATTCCCGCCGCGCCGCGCAGGGGCCAATTTAGAAGACATAATGAAAATGCGGTAACCAGTCCATAGCTAGCTATGTGACCGATATCAGTACAGTGCAGGCCACTGGCAACTGGTCGGATTCGACATCGTAAAAATGCCAAGAAAACACCGATGGAGAAAGAACATTTTTGCAAGTTAATTTACAGAATTGATCTAGCTTGTCTGTGTATGTATTTTCTGTGTTCAGGAGTTCATTTTGAGATCGCACTACTCGTATTTGGAGTGATACATGCCGCGTGTTTCCCGAAATTGTTGACAGTAAAAACAGCTCTGACGGCCCATGGTCGGCCGCTCGCCACACACGCACGCATTACACACCTCAGAGTTTTGGCCAGCTCCCCGCGTCTTGACTAGCGTTGTGCATATGGTGCGAACGGCCTGAATTTTCCATTATTTTTTGAAATTATCGAACGTAAATATATTGACAATAATTAAAGGTAGGTTTTACTCACTTTTTGTTGCCATTTCGTGTATAGCTTTCGTAGTGCAATAGAAATAGTTCAGGATAAAACTTCGCATATAATTGAATGCCCCATTCAATCTGCATAAAAAAAAATTGGCAAAAAAAAAAAAAATTCCGACCGACCGACCCTATTTTTGAAAGGCATGTAATTGGAAGCAGAACTATTTTTTTTTTTGGCCTAATAAAATAATGGCAGTTGTATTGCACATACCTTTGTAATCAATGTATGTGCACTCATAAGACTAGTCTTTAAAGATTTTTATGGTTGGCAAGAAATTAAATCATGTGACATACGTGATCAAAAATGGACAGACATTTGTATTTCTTTTACATGGATCCGTGTTTTTGTTTCTAAACCTAACAAAAAGCCACAAAAGAGTATATGCATCAAAGGTGAGCAGTTTCCTCAGCAAAATGTACATTTATTGTTGAAGTTACCTGTTGATAACATGGAAAAAACAGCATGTATCACGTTTGTCACTCTGTGGACAGACACTGTGACATACGTGATTGCTGAATTTTCTGCGATAGTAGAGTCCTAGGTACGTGGCTGTATATGGGTACCATTAACGTGTTTTGACCATTTTCACTCGTAGCATAGCCGTGTATGCGATATGTGCAGGCTACGCCGTTCAGGAAACAGTCGCCGGTGTACGCGTGCACACACGATATGCCCGACTGTGAATGCGGGTGCATCACTTGGCCGGCACGTTGTACATCATCAGTTTGACCTCACAATTTGAATGAATCGTACGCAACAACAACATTCAAGATGGCAGTTACCATCTTCCTGTGTCGCGCGCGACGTCCAAGCCGTCGACATCGATGCCCGCGCAGCGCATGCGCAGGGTATTATTTTCATTTTTAATTGGAACAGGAAACAGCCGTCGCATTTGCAACTCGCGCCCTCGCTTGACAAGCAATTTGCATAAACGCGACATCACAGCTTGAGGTCATCTCTTGTCACATTCAAAATGGCTGCCATCACCAGACGTTTCACGAGTGCATATGGGCTCCAGAAAGATTCAAGAATATCTCGGAAAATTGAACATCATTACACCTAAGCATCCCAGAAGTGATAGATGGGACATCATAGAATACAACCATATGTAAGAAAATGCCTGAAATTTTTATGAAAACGTCCTCAGTAGTGCGCGTACCACGGTGTGTGTGGCCAGAGGTTCAGCGCAGCATACCGCGGCCACACTAGTGGGGCTAGGCCTAGTCATTCTTACAATATTAAAGTCCATAGGCCTAAATTAGTCCGAGTAACTTGGACATTGGACCAAACTTATCGCCTTTTTAACATTCGGACATGGTCTGGCGACGCCAGACCATGTCTGAATGTTAAAAAGGCGATACCAAACTTATCGCCTTTTTAACATTCGGACATGGTCTGGCGACGCCAGACCATGTCCGGTAATCCTTACTTTTAGGACACCTCTATTTTTTACGAGTTCTGTTCAAAACTGACTTTTGCAGATGACTTTCCAGTACCAAAGTGACTTTTGCAGGCTAAAGCAGTCTTTTTTCTTCATATAAACTCATGTTAGTTGTAATTTTGAAAGCACTTTCAAAGAAAATGTTACTTTCCTACCTTTTTTCGCAGTCAGCCGTCATATTGTCATGATTGTAGTTCTCATAACACAACTGAAAGCCTTACATAATGAAAGCCTGATGCTGATTGGCTGCTAAAATAAATAAATAAGATGTTTATTTTTTATCAGCCAATCAGCATCGAGCTTTCATCACATCAAGCTTTCACGTTTGCCATCTTTGTTTTTGAGTCTGTTTTCTGGTTGTCATCGTCGCCCTTTACCCCCAAATTTCCCTCATAAATCAAAGCCCTGCCCTCTTTCCACAAAATTATTACCTGCTGATATTCAAGAAGGTGTCATTGCCAATTGTTCAGATGTGTCAAGAAATATCAGAATGTCAATTTTGAGTGTCATTTAGTCAACTGTTTTGGTGAGTCTTTCCCTTCCTATATAGGAACGGGGTCCTAAAAAGGATTACCCCATGTCCGAATGTTAAAAAGGCGATAAGTTGTCTGGCGACGCCAGACCATGTCCGAATGTTAAAAAGGCGATAAGTTTGGTCCAAGTTACTCGGACTAGGCCTAAATGTGAAGGATTTATTTTTTGCAAGAAAAAAATCGGTCAAGAAATCGGCGCCAAAGACCATTTCCATTTGCGGAACCGGGCAATCAACTGTACGTGCGCGAAAAATGGTCATACGAGGATATCTTGAGCCACATTTATGGGGTTATTAACCAGCCAAAAAAAAAAAATCAATTCAAACTTACATACTATATAGCCCCGTACAAGATGACGTATCGGTCGTCGTTCCTGCGTATAGTGCGTGCTCAATCCAACATGTAGTAGTATTCATGTATTTCACCTGTCATGCATGCTACTGCTAGTGTTATTGTTGTCACAAACGTTTCGACTCACGACATGCACGATATTTCATGTATATATTTACGCGTATATTTTCGACGGGATTTAATTTTACGGAACCAGACTTTTAGTATGTCCTAAACCGGTACAGCTCGCGGCTGAAATCCAGACTTTGTAAAATCGCACGTCTGCAAAGCGCGAGCGACTCATTGGCCGCTGTTAAACATGTGATCAAAAATAGACTTCGTTTGAAGTGCACTTACATTATATCACAATTCAGTAAATAATTATCAATATCGATAAATCATTATGTTCTAACTCAACATCACGAATTTCTGAATATTCTAAAGTTATGTACCCATTTTGGCTTCTAAATTGCATTTTTGTATATAAATCCAATGAGCACCCAACCTCGCTTTGAGGTAGCGTGGCCGAGTGGTCTAAGGCGCTGGTTTTAGGCACCAGTCATTTCGATGGCGTGGGTTCGAATCCCACCGCTGCCATTACTTCTTGTTTTCAGTTGTAGCATGACGATTTGGAAAACTCAGAAAAATCTGCTTAAATATAACTGCTCTTCAAGTAAATCTAAACGTTCACTTTCTCCTGAAATGCATACCATTGCCAGTTTTACAGTTTGGAAAAATTCCATCTGAACACTCCTGCCTATCTTGACTGCATAATGACAATTCAAAAGACATCAACTGGACTCTCTTTTAAACTTTAGTATATCTGCAAAGCACTATGCATTTTCTTTTACCTTGTCAATAAAAAAATGTGACATTTTTCAAGAGTGGTACTGTCCAAATGTGGAGTAAGACATCAAAGTCATGTACACATTCTGGCTTATGGAAACGCTAATTGATGGTGAAAGAAAGATCTAGAAATTTCAAATCTAGAACAGTACACAACTAGACATTTCAATACACGTTTCTGCAAATTAGTGGAATTTTTTCTTCCAATATTATTAACCCTTTCAGACCAAATATATTATAGACATAAGTAACTTCGGGCCAACTTGTTATAAAAAATTAAGGCATATTTCCCTGTCACCAATAATTTACAAAATGCAGAGCGATAGAGTATATATTGAAATGCATTGTGCTTATCAAAGTACAATGAAAGTACTCAGGAGTAGAGCAAGCAAAAAACTAGATTTTTCTAACATTAACAACATATCTATAAGAATATATAGAATTTGACAACTGAATTTATACATGTACAAAGTAAGGTAATGCTTGCAATGTGTCTAATGTTTCAATCTGTAGTGCACATTTAGAATCTAATATGAAGATGGGGGTTGATTTCAGCACAATGTGCATTTGATGATTTAAGTGTGAGACAAAGCGATGCAAATTTTCTATTCCTGCCACAAAAAGCATATGAGAAGTAATTCAACTAAAAAGTTACTCATGAAGTAGCAATTATAATGAATTAATAATATAAAATCCATTTCTTTGAGTTCACAATAACAACAAAACAATTGAATGTGAAATCATTTAGAGGATCTTTACAAAATGTCAACATAAATTAGAAAAAAAAGTAATGGTACTTTAAAACAACAAATTGACACATACATGTACTAGGTATACACCTACAATCCCTGTGCTACGTTGAACCCTGCAGGAGTGTAATTGCACACATGAAACATGCCTTATAACATGAACATAGAACCACTTAATTTTGTGCGTTCATCTAGTAATTTCAGAACAAAAACTTATGTAATTCATAAAGGAACATTACCACTGTCCACCACTCTCCCTTAAAAAATGATAAAAATAAGGAAACTAGAAATATTGAATTCAACACAAAGCAGATCTCTATATGAAAAAAAATATCATTTGACTATGTTGTAAGAATAAAATATTAAAAGTGAGGTAAAAAGGAAAAAAATATTGTAAATGCATCAATGAAAATAATGCAACTGATGACCTAATCTCTACAGAAATTTCAGAGTTGTCAAGTTCTACCACGTTAAATACAATCAATCAGTCCCAATTTAATTGACAAGCAGCTATACTCTGGTCAGTGTGATATGAAGTGTGATAATTTACTTTGTCATTGTATAACCCCTGTTACTTGTGACTTTATTAGTGATTGACTTAAGATGGATATGACAGTTCTGGAGAACCTGCTTTCTTTTCTAAAATATCAAACATTTAAAAAAGAACCAATTAAAAGCAACAAATGCAACAATACATACAAAACTCAGTAAAATCTGTCTTAGTTTTGAAAAATTCGAGAAGAGAAAATGTTATTTTCTACTTGTTCTTTTATCCTACCAGTCATGTGCTAAATAAACGAAAAATTCCAAAAATACTTCAGTACTTTGTTGGTACAATGTATTGAAATGGCTACAAAAGTGCTTTTATCCAAGACCCACAACTAACAAAAAAATTAATCTTAAAATAATCCCCGTTGGACAAAGAAATAAGCTGGATAGGGCTTTAACCTACGACCCCTGGATTGCCATTCCAGTGCTCCACCAATTGAGCTATACATGTACATCCCTGTTGGCATTGACAACATAGGTCTGGGTAGTTCAGTTGGTAGAGCACCAGAACAGCAATTTGGAGGTCGCAAGTTCAAACCTCACTCCGGTCAACTTCTTTGTTCAACTTTACATTATTTAATTTTTGGCACATTTTAAAAGGGTGCACTCTGCACTTAAAAACAATTTCTTTAAATTGAGTAAAAATAACTCAAAATAAACAGGGATATTTTTAACTTGCTGGAATTTCAGTTTCTGTGCAATATGCAATAAAATTATTATTTGAGCAAGGCACTAAAGGAAAAAAAATGCTAGTACACTTTTGTTTTAGGGTTATGTCATAAATTGTCAATTTCACATTTGATATTTATTTATGTTGCAGGTATGGTGTGCATATGCTCACAAACATCACACGATTACCATAAACTACCCTAAAAAAGCCTAGTGTCCAGCGAACATCACCATCGGACAAAAGCAGTGCAGCAACTGACTATAAACTGGCCTTTACATTGTCAACGGTCTCCATCACGACTCAACATGTTTTGGTACGATAATGTGGCTATTCCTGATAGAAAAGGGGTACCAGACCAGTATCTGTATGCAGCCAATGATGACAGGGATACAACAAGCCACTGTGAACATGACTTGATGTAGCTGCTCCACTGAGTCTTTATCCACACTGCGATCGGCTGACTTGTCTTGGAGCATCAGAGTCTGGTACCCATACCTGTTCAGTATATTCAGGATCAGCATTGGTGCACAGGATTGGGCTGCTTTAGTGAACAATGCATTGTATCCAAACACGCTGGAAGAAATTGGAGTCCTGATTGAGAGAGAAAGAAAAATTACAGCAAAATAATCAAATTAGGCTTCAATTCAGTCACCCTGGTACTAGAAATTCCATGGGGCACTAAAGATGCACTGTCCTTGCTAATTTTGTGTTTCAATCAGAAAATCAATTTTTTCTTTTGAATTAAACTTTTCAAGCAGTGCAAAAGTTATTTACCTTTGAATTAGACATTGAGCAAATATTTATTTCACAATTTATGAATTAAGTTTGGCTGACAACTTGGTTCTTGCAGGGTATTCTGGTTCAGGCCCCCATTAATGTCGATAATGTAAGAACATACATGTACTTGAAACAAGACTGCTCGCACCCTGGATGTGTTATGCGCAGAAGCAACCAATAATAAAAGCTTTTTTTGGGGGGGGGAGGGTTTACAGTTGCTCACATTTAAATAACTTACTTAATTTAAGTTAAACTTACAAGTTAAAAACTTAGTTAAACTTACAAAAAAAACCAAAGCAAATTTGTTGGTGTTTATGTTTAAAAGTGATAATTGAACAATTTTGTTCCCCATACGTACAAGTCCACAACCATCGGACAATAAATCTCTGAATTTATTTCAGTCTGCATTGTCTGCAGTGAATGTGAACCCAAAGCAAAGATTTCAATTTAAAGTGCATACATCATCAATACCAACATTTCTTTCTTTCTTTCCAGGATTTCCCCCATTGTTCAAGGTCCCGCTTGTCCTCCAAACACAATTGTTTTTTCCCATACCATATGCCATTCTTACCTTCTATTGTATTTGTCTTTATCATAATCGATGATGTCGGAGACAGGCAGATTAAAGAATGACCCTATGGCATCAGGAACACACCTGCATACAAATGATACCAATAACCCCATTGGTTCAATGTGAACATTTTCAATACCAAACTACTACCGTACGTAAGTTGTTGAGATAAAATTGCCTGGATTTGTTTAAAGATGGACATGACGAATACATTTAGACTTTCTATCCATTTGGCACATAGTTATTCAGAAGAAATAAATGCAGGTTATAGATTGAGCACATCCTTTATATTAATTTTGGAGATTCAGGTTTTTGTTGTTGAATGTGCCACAGGAGGAATACTGTCTCCTCTGACAAATAGGTTGGTTTTATTTTTGGTCTGTTTGATTCTAAATTGAAGTAGTGTACTCACTGTATTTAACACTCTTAGTGTGTTTCCCCAGAATTGGTTAAATATAAAATGAAATTCTCTGGGCCATTGTCAAAGGGGGATGTGTGCATCAATGGAGCTAGCCTTTAATCAAGTCCCACAGGCTCACCCGGACACGTGACGCACCCCAGATGCTTGCACGTAAAAAGACTAGCACGAGCGGTGAAGCCGCGAGGGCCTTTACCATCTCGTGGAGAACGCTTGTGTTTTTTTTACATTTGTCTACTGATTTGGTAGAGAAATTTTCATGCATAATGCATTACCCCGTTGTGAATATTGACCAATGAAAATGTAGAATTACTAACAGCTGTTTAGACGATGTGACGTCACATGCACTCAAAAGATATCGGAGCAAAGCAAGATGGCCGGCGACTTCCTCGGCAAAAGTATCGTTGAAGATTTTAAGCTTAGATTCTGAACATATCTCGCACATTTCAACCTCAACAACGCCATGCAATCAAAGGTAATGGGTTTCAGCAAAAGCGTTGTTTTTGTCAAACCGGCCGTCACAACCGAATGTGGCATTAGCTCGAAATATCCAGTTTTTTTTCTAGGCCCATGACATGGCGACTCGCCAGTATAGCTGGAACGAAGTCCCTGACTTACTATGCAGAATTCAGTTTTAGGGCTGATATTTTCCATTTTCACTCAACTTATACAAGTAAACACTCACCGAAGACTGGAGACATTGTTTAAAAAAGCAAAGGATATTCTCAGAATAAAAATACAATCAAGCCGAACTTGATTAGAAGAGGTATTGTGAGTGCAACTCCGGGTGTGTACATGACACATTTACTGAATTGTGTACAAAACAATGCCAGCAGTTGGTTGTGGTTGCCAGACCAAAACATTGAGGGCTCTGACCATTCCATGTTGGCTGGGTATCAGGCTCGCAGCACTGAACGGTCCACGAGAAGGCGAAGCAGAGGGGATGCATGCATGAACCGTTCACAGTGCATCGTAAATCAGCCGTCCTCTGGCGCGTGAGCTGTCGCTGGTAACCAAAACCACTGCTAGATGATTGGTTTATATTACTTGAATTATATTACTTGAACAAAGGAATAAGTGAATAGTTCCACAAGATAGTAAAGGCCCTCGCGGCTTCGCCGCTCGTGCTAGTCTTTTTATGTGCCGGCATCAGGGGTGCGTCACATGTCCGGGTGGTCCGGGTATAGACGCGTGGGGACTTGACTAAAGGCTACAATGGGGCAGGGATTTGGTTTGTGGATTGTAGAGGGGAGGGGGTGTTGTACATACAGATCAATCAGGAAGAAGACTGCCAACATCCAGGTATGCGTCTGTCCAATCATGAACATGGTGGCACCGCTAGCGATCTTGATGATGAATGAAAGCAGAATAACCTTGTAGTAACCCATCCTCCCTGCTACTGGTCCCAAGATCAGCACTAAAACCTGGAGAAAGGGATCCAAAATGGAAACACTGATTTTGAATTAAAAAGTAAGTTGTTTGAGAGAATGCTTTCAGAATTAGTAACACATACCTAAGTTCTAGTTGATCCTGAATCCTAATGAACTGAACAATGAATGAACAAACTGAAGCTCTATGGTGTTCCTTAACCCTTGCAAGAACCTGTCAAAATCAAATCTGTCAAAATCCAAGTGACACATTGTTTTCCCCAACCTGAATGCTACACTTGTGAATGACAGCAGGACGAGTATTTTTGCTGGGGGTTCACAAAGGTGTCACTAGAGGCAAATTTTACTCTGAATGTTTGTCAAACTGACATCGCATTCAGGCGCGGATCCAGGATTTTTTTAGACGGGGGGCACACTGTTGGAGCAAAATTATTTGGTCCGAGAATTAATGCGAGCGCAGAGTGCGAAGCCCTTACGGCGTGGGGTCAGGGGCCCGCTTAAGGGCCCAGGGAAATGTTGGATTCTAGATGCTCTGTGGTGCAATCTGAGGCAATTCCTGGCTCCTTTCCCCTGAATTAGTTGAGCAAAAGTGTTTAAGATTTTAAGGATTTAAAAAAAAATATATACCCTTACTTTTACAATTTTTAAGTTACTGTGTGCTTGAAAGTCAAAATCCATGTATTTACGTCTTCATGTTTTCTTGCATTTTATATTGGAAAAGGCATTGTATTGACTTAGTTTTGTGAACTGTTGCAACGATGCGTTGTGGCATTTTCTCCGAGGACTAATGTGAGGGCGGATCACGCCTGTCATACAGCGTGGGGTCCGGGGTCCAGGGTCCGGGGCCCGCTTAAGGGCCTCGGAAAATTTAGAATTCTAGATGCTCTGTGATGTATTTTGAGGGGATTCCTGGCCCCTTTTTTCCCTGAGTTATTTGAGCAAAACGTTTTAAGATTATAAGGACGTTTTTCATTGGTTTATAATATACTCTTGCGTTTACAAGCCTTGTAAGTTTCTTCTGTCTTCACTTGTATAACCAAATATTTTCGTCTGCATAGTTATTTTCCTGCTTATTTTTGAAAAGGAATTGTATAAACTTAGTTTGTAAACTGTTGCAAGGATGCGTATAGGGGCATCTGCCCGAAGACCAATGCGAAGCGCGAACGTCTTTCGGCGTGGAGTCCGGGGCCCGCTTAAGGGCCCCGGGAAATTTTGGATTCTAGATGCCCTGTGGTGCAATCTGAGGCAATTCCTGGCCTCTCTTCCCCGGAGTTATTTGAGTAATTTTTTTTAAGATTATAAGATTTTTTTCATTGATTAAAATATATATACTCTTGCTTTTACAAGCCTTTTACTGAAATCAACGATAGAAAGGGAGAGTTGAGGGAGACCATTGCACATTAGAGCATGCATTGCCTGTCATGCCTGACGCTTAATGTGACAAATTAGGCGCGAGTACTTTGCGCAACACATGCATAAACCAGTATGCAATGCAACTCAAACCAAATGTTAAATATTTTCTTCAAGCAAAAATGTTTTTTGTACAAGACTAGTAGTTGTGTCTGCATTATATAATCACTATTATATAACCGACATACAGATCCTTGTCATTTGATTGGTGAAACTCACATCACGTGACATTCGTTATTGCTCCCATTCATGCCGCGGCTCAAAAAGTACTATCCGCCCATGGGGAATGGGAAATACTATTGAACAGTTAGAATCATGACGCGGTATTTGTGTGCAAATGCATGCTGGTGTGCGCGTTCAACGTTGCGCGTATTGTTCCAAAGAGCCAGACTACAGCGTTGGGTTCAAACATTTTTGTGAAGGAGTGGTTTAGAAGAGAGAAATGCATTTTCCTCCAGTTTTGTATTGAAATAAAAGTTCAAATATATCAAATGACAAGGATCAGTTATATAAAACAAATACTGAGTGGCTTTATATTGTGAAATGTGAGGAATATTATCGCTTGGTAAAATCTGGACTTTTCCAGTTCACTCGGCTTCGCCTCGTGAAATGGAAAAGTCCAGATTTTACCTTGCGATAATATTCCTCCCATTCCACGCTGAGCCACTCAATATTTGTATACCAATAGGCCATGCACATATGACCTATATTACCATACTGACCTGAGGTATTACAAAGGCAGATCCATACAGCATCCTTCGTGCCAGTGGAGGAAGGTCAGTCGACGGAATCAGCTGATCAGCAAAAATGGCCAGAAAATTGGCCTCGTAAATGATGTGAAATATCTGACAGAAATTCATTGTCACAAAGAACAGAAAGTTCCTCTCACAAACAATCTGCTTGAACTGAACCCAAGCCTTGGGTCCTTCAGAGGAAGACCTGCTCGCTGTGTCATTCATCTTCAATGACAAATCATCATTGGCAACATTATCGTACATAGTGACTACATTCCGACCAGTATAATACATAGCTAACCAGCTGATTAATGCAAGCACCAGACAAAACATTTGAAAGGCTCTGAAATTCTCAAGACTTGAGGAGAAGAACTCAGCACCCATGACACTTGTTGCTCCCAGTACCGAGGCAATCTGACAGTACTTGGTAAGGCGTAGACGGTCCTCGTGTTTGGAAGATATCTCAGCATACATGGCACAGTGAGCTAGCAGAACAAATGTGAATAACGTATCATACGCACAGAGCGAAACCATTAAATGGATGCCCACCAACCAGCTGTTGGCCCCATAATTCCCCCATGGAAACCATGGTAACAGGAAACAGATACTGAAGAGTGGGGCTCCATACAAAATGGCCAGTCTACGACTGCGGAAAATCCTGATTTTGGAGTTGTCCTGCCAATAGGCAAACAGGGGATCATTCACAGCATTCCAGACAAGATATACAACCTGTGCTATTGAAAACCACGACTCAGAAATATGATAGTGGTTTAGAAACAACTTGACGTAATAGAACTGGAACACAGCCGATGTCAATTTGTTGCCAAATGCCGTCAAAGCAAAGGCGAAGGAGTTCATATGCAGTGTGAAAGGCATGGTGCTCAAGTGATGACAAGACAATGAGAAATTCTTGACCGCAAACGAGGAGATTTCAGGGCTTGGTACAGACGCTCTGCAAGCTCCTTGTATGTCTGTCTTGCTGCCAGACTGAAAGGGTCTAAAGTAAAAAGGATGGAATAAACCAAAACAAGTTTCACTCACATTCCATGCAACAGTCTTTCTTGAAAGCTAAACTGACCATATACATGTACAAATACATTGTACCTCCTATAAACTAAAAGTAAAACAGGATCCGTGTTTGCATTTTATTTTTTGACCATAGAGTGTATTCCATAAATGAATGACTTTTTTACTGGCCATATCAAGGTGCTAATGCTAGTCCATCTGTCCAAATGGGTTCTCCCCTTAAAAAAAGAAGACAATTAATAAAGAAATCAATTTACAGTATGGATTGTGCACTTTGTGCATGCCTATCAACTCCTAAGGATGCCATTTACAGCTGTTGCAATTAGCAGAAACAAATTGCACATGACTAAATCAATTACATTATTAAGGAGTTTTTCAATCCATTAATAAAGGATTTAAACTTTATTGTAGGCCTAAATGACAAACAATTTATACAATTTCCCATGATTGATCATTAACCTTAGAAAGAACAAAAAAAAAATTCCCTGCATTTGCTACGGTTAAAAATGAATGCACAATACAGACACAGATTTGCTGCATGTAGCCTGTAAGTGCAATCATGAAGAAAAGAAAAAAAAAATTCAACAAATCTGGAGGTGATTCTTAATCTTGTTTTTTTTTCTTGGTCACAAACATAAATGTTTTGCTATATTGATAGAGGAATATAATCGGATCACTGTGTGCAAAAGTGCGATGCCTATTTTGTAAACTGACAGTGACAAATAACGTTGATAATTTTTATCCAAATATCTGTTTGTAAGTTCTTGGGTAATCCTTACTTTTAGGACACCTCTATTTTTTACGAGTTCTGTTCAAAACTGACTTTTGCAGATGTCTGTCCAGTACCAAAGTGACTTTTGCAGGCTAAAGCAGTCTTTAGAAGTCAAGAAGGTGTCATTGCAAATTGTTCAGATGTGCCACGAAGTATCAGAATGTCAATTTTGAGTGTCATTTGGTCAACTGTTTTGGTGAGTCTTTCCCTTCCTACATAGGAACGGGGTCCTAAAAGTAAGGATTACCAGTTCTTGTTTACTTAATAAACTTAACATGCCAACGCACCGTAACATATCCAATGCTAAAGATGATATCGCTGATAGATTTGGTTCAGATTTATCGCCCTGCCCTGGACCCGTACCCGCCGGTACTACGTGATGCTGAGTGTAGCGAGCGCAGTAAGCGCACTAGTACTAGTACATACAGTACAGCTAGCTAGAGCAAAGCTAGCTAGTTAGTTAGTATCAGCCTGACCGTAAGAGGGCGGGCTGTACAATTTATATTACTTCCGCGCCGTTACTTGTATTGTAATTGTATTAAGTTGTAACTCCACTGCTCTTTTAAATTTTATTAGGTGTTGGTGTTGGGCGGACTTGGGCCTTGAGCCCAACGGCAACACCTATTGGTTTTGTAAGAATTTACTGTTTTTGCTCTTCTCAGCATATTCTCAGCAAATCCTTCTCCCCAGAACTGTTTGGAAAATGCAAACATATTGTTGATGTACCCTAACGTGGCGCGCGGGCCCCTAACGTGGCGCACTTTGATTTTTCGCCTGTAGCGCCTAGCTAGAGCAAAAGTTTTAACTGAAATTTCACAGAAAGTGAAATTTCATCAAGGTCTATTCTAATGATACATCCTTTCCTATGAAGACAACACCAAATTAATATACAACATATATTACCATATATAGGGTACGGCTTGCCAAGGGGCAGTCAACCAGTTGGAGCTGGCTTTTTAATTGTTTAATTTTAAACAATAATTATACAGATATTCAATGTAATCGTACAAACTCCCGAATAAACCCACTGGATTAAAAACCAGAGATAAAACTCAATGAGCAAAAACTCTGGAAAACCTTGTGGTTGCCAGCAAGACAAAACGTTTCGAACGTTTACATAAAGCTATTTTTTTAAAGCTGATCCATTCTCTGTTTGTTCTTAACTGACCTGAAGTCGCAAGCTAGAATGATCCCCACGCCTTCGCCTCACAAGTTCTACGTACATTCTATGCACGTCTTTCATATTCAAATTTGACACACCCTTTCCACCCTTATACGCACCACCGCCTCGCGGAATTCATTCCTCAACCGATTAGACAAATTTTGCCTGCTATACAACCGTAACGCAGGCAAAGATAAGTCTATTCTAATGATACATCCTTTCCTATGAAGACAACACCAAATTAATATACAACATATATTACCATATATAGGGTACGGCTTGCCAAGGGGCTAGAATTCAAAGATCGGGCAAGAGGCTTCGTTTTTTTTTTTTTTTTTGCCGCTTATTAATCTCTTTATCTTCACTTCCGGAATATCTTCACAAAATTTGCCAACCCTTCTACTTTCAACCTAAACTGTGCCTCATAAAGTAATTTTCACTGCATTTACAACAATTTATGTCGCAACTTGCTTTTTCCTTTACAACTTTTCCTCATGATACAATAATAAACATCGCTTGAATAACCGTGTATACTTTACTGTGCTACTTTCGTGAAACCAATTTAAAAGAACCACTAAATTGCTTTTTTTTTTTTTTGCTTTCCTTTCCAGCCTCCATGAAATCGCATAAAATCCAACTAAATTCCATACCTTCGTTCTTACTGTATTTACATTACACATTTACATTCAAGCCAGTGTATTGGATAACATTACTTCACTGTGCTGCCTTTGTGGAACCAATTTAAAGGAACAACTGAATTTTTTTTTTTTGGCTTATATTTCGAGCCTCCATGAAATCGCATAACATTGATATCAACAAATTATAATATCTCCGTTATTAATGTGTAATAACATTAATCATTTACATTAAAGCCAGTGTGTTTGAACAATGCTCAGCAGCAACATTGGAGGGTAATAATTTCTTACAATTGTAGTGCCTGACTAACGGATAACTTGTGTTCTAGACTGTCATCAACATAACCATCTTTGGCTATATCGCTCCGCCACCTCCCATGCCTCTTCCACAGTCTATCATTGACTGACGCTCTTGCGGCAGCAGTGGCACCACCGGCCCTGAGCGAATAAAGCCCAATATTTGCATCGCCACAAACCTCTCTAAGTCGACTCAAAACCGTTTCTCTAGCCCGGGTGTAACTTATTTGCTTATTTTTCTTTACAAGTGCCTTTCTTCCTTTGTTACAGCATGCCGGCCGAAAAATAAACTGGTCGGAGTCTAGTAAGATTCCTGCCTTTTCAAAATAATTCCCTACCACCTTTAGAGGACAGGCAGCTGTGTTACCTTTGGAAATTGTTACTGTATTTCCTTTCCTGTATTGATCTGTTTTGCTTTTGCTCAAGTACAAAGTCAAAAAACTTTCGTGGAATTTTACATCTACTGCCCTCAAAGAACGGATCTCCTCAAATCTTAGAAAACCCGAAAATCCCAAAACTATGATGGCTAGATCTCGTAACACCATGATATCTTCCGAATCCCCGTACTGATCGCATCAGGCGGTGATCTGCTCTGCCGTAACTATGTCTTTCTTTATCGTTGGCTTTGAATTTTTCCTTTTAGCCGTTTCCAGTAAATTTTTAACGAAAAGATTATCTGTGGGATCATTTGATCCTCTAATATTATGAGCCCATTTAATTGCATATACTGCCGCCTGAACGACATTTGACGAAGACCCTTGATCAATCAGACTTGAAATATATAATGCAACGTGTATTGGCTTCGCCGGTATCGCCTTGCCCCCCTCCGTCTGTATGAATGCCTGCCATCTTCTGAATGCAGACGAGTACTTGGTCGTAGTCCCCTCACTTCTGGATTCCATCAGCTGTGTTGACATGGTGTCCGCCAATGAAGTCAGCTTGCTGGTCTTGACTCCTGTCTCTTCTAAAGCCTGATGAACCGCACAAGATATCCCTAGTACTAAAAAGAAATAACTCAATTAGAACCGTATTTTCAGTGCGATTAGTTTGAATATACTCCCACGTTTTCCGAATATCCCATTCTTGCCTTTCCCTTTCAACACAACATCGGATGTTAAAAACTCGTGCGCCTGCACAAATGGCTTAAAACTAGAACCATTCCAAACCTTGGGCCAAAACGGCGCCGATTGCCAGTATGGAACCACTAACGTTCCGCATGCTTTTTCTGCTACACACTTATCTACCGTTCTAGTAATTCATTTGGGTGGAGGCACCCACCAATTCATCTCATTCGACCATTTTTGACTAAAGGCGTCTACACCTGAAGTTCCGGGGTACCATCCCCGTGAGTTGAATTTTTGACACTTTGAATTGTACCCACATGCGAATCTATCGCAGGAATGAGGACCCCAATATCTGTCTAACCTTGCAAAGGTTTTGTGATCTATTTGCCAATCATCGCTATCAGCCATTCTACTCAGATCATCTGCACGTTTATTGTCTGCTCTTGGTATCCACACTGGATCAACTTTCATGTCAACTTTTGAGCAAATTTCTCGGATCTGTAGTGCCTTCTATTGCAATTCTGAATTATTACTACCTGCTTTGATGATCTTCACTACATTCTTATTGTCCGTATACACACGAACATTTGGCCCTTCCAGACCTTGTGCCATATCTTGCATCATTCTATGAACTGCTTCTAGTTCCCTCCACGTGGAACTTTTACCCATTTCATTCTGTGACCAAGCTCCAACCATCTCCATCTCCTCATGTCCCCACACATACCCTCCATAACCTATGCCTGAAGCATCTGTGTATACTGATGAATGCACAACCATGTGCTCCGATATCGATCTGGAATTTATTTGATCTACCTGATCTCTCCAAAATATCAATTCTGATTTGGCTTCTGATGACAACACTACGCTGGCATTCCAACTTGCTCTGCTATTGACACATTTGAATGCTTCCCTTGTTTTTAGCTGAACCAATGATCCCAAAACGGTATGCATTGATACGATTTGGCCTAGGATGCCTGCCAATGACCTGGCCCTTACCAGCGCAAAAGGCGCGTCTAACCCGCTCAACAACTGATTTATTGAATATATGAGATTTTAGTCCTCTTTTCAGTGATATGCATGACCCCATGTCCAAAATCCCATACCAGACCGAGCCAAACAACTTTTGTTTTCGGCTCCCAATCACACTTTTCTTCGGCTATTAAAAAGCCCAAATCCTTCAAACTGTTTCGGATGAAATCACTCTGCCCTTTAGCTTCCTCTCTAGTGGCACTTCCAGCCAAACCATCATCTAGAAACATTACTACTTTGAACCCCTTGCTTCTCCAATATGCAACTACTTCTCTCATTACTTTTGAGAATACATAACCTGCCGTTGATAGGCCAAATGGCAGCACATTGAACACGTAATACTTTTTCTTGCCCTCTTTCTCCCAGGCAAAACCTAAAAACTTTCGGTGCTCTTCGGTTATTTCGATATGATGGTAAGCTGATTTCAAATCATAAGTTATAGCAAAATCATTAACTTTGAACAAATCCCGTACAACTTGTGCATCCTCGTATTTAAACTTTTCTTTGTACAGATGAGGATTTATGTGGCGGCAATCTAGGACCAATCTAGGCTTATCTTTGTTACCCGCTACCGTTAATGGATTAACAACATATGGTTTTTGGCTAACCTCGACTGCGCACCCCTTGAGCAACAACTTCTCTATTTCTGAACCAACAAAATCAAACTTATCAAAAACCGACCTGTTATTTCTTATTTCAGCTTCTTCAGGCAAAGTAAACAGTGGCAACATATACCCATTACGCAAAATGCTCATTATGCTACTGTTGGCATTAATCTCCTCCCATTTTTTCAGATTACTCTTTAAACGCCCAACCGGAGATGCTATTTCTCGTTGGACCGAACTACAAATCACATTCATGCATACTTCATCTGCCTTTTCACTTATCTTAAGGCTGCCACTTGTCTCCTTCACTGCCTCTCTGCATTCCGCTCTCCAGTGACCAAACTTCCCGCATGCGAAGCACGCTCCCGGTTTTCTACCCCCGTAGCCCTGCTGCTGACGGTAGCCGATGTCCGATGATGTGCTCGCTCTACTGCTCACTGCCGTTGATGATCCCGCTCTGGTAGGATATGGAGAAAAACGTCTCGCCCACTGAGATTTTCTTGTCTTGTCCTTTGTTTTTATCTTTCGCTGTGCCCTTGCTTCGGCCCTCATGATGCGCTTTTCGTCGTCTGAATCTTCGGCGACGCAGTTCCGCTCATATTCGTCCACGGTGTTCTATCCTGCATCGGAACTATCCG